TTGCTAGGGGATCAGAGACCTCGTAAGATGTGCACTTGAGGTGAACCTTGAAGAATGGTTAACATTTGGATCGGGCTGGGGAGAAGGAAGCAGTATAGGTAGTCACAAATGGGAAGGCCCATTGGGTATTCAAACACAGGGCAAATATCTCCTTTAGCCTGGAGCATAAAGGAGAGCAGAGGTGGACGATGAAACACCAAAGCCAAGCAGAGGGCAAGGGCCCACTGACACAGTCAGAAATAAAAACCTCCAGGACCCTCGGTTTAAAAAAAAAGGCACAGGGCATCTCTACAAATTAAAAAAAAATTAGCCAGGGGTGGTGGTGCACCAGGTGTGGTTCTAGCTACTTGGGAGGCTGAGGCAGGAGGATCACTTGATCCTGAAATGTCAAGACTGCGGTGAGCTGTGATTGCACCACTGCACTCCAGCCTGGGTGACAGGATGAGACCCTGTCTCAAAAAAAATTGTTTTTAATTAAAAAACAGATGTGTGTTCAGTTTCAGATTAACTGTATTATAGTATTGAGAGGGTCACTGGGGTCCTTGGGAAGAGATATCCAAATAGGCACTTGGCAATATAAGCCTTGAGCTAAAGAAAAACTGCAGCTAATGAGAGATTTGGTAGTCTGGATGAAAATACTAAGAAAGACTTCTCATCCTATACAGTATTTTGGGTTCCTTGAACCTTTTGAAAGCACCCAAATTGACCATAGGATCTTGAACAAACTTCCATTCTTCCATTTTCAAGTTCTTTTTTGTTTTGAGGTGGAGTCTTGATCTTGTCACCAAGGCTGGAGTGCAGTGGCAATCTCAGCTCACTGCAATATCTACCTCCTGTGTTCAAGCGATTCTCCTGCCTCAGCCTCCAGAGTGGCTAGGATTACAGGTGCGTGCCACCATGCCTGGCTAATATTTTTGTGTTTTTAATAGAGACAGGGTTTCACCATATTGGCCAGGCTGCTCTCGAACCCCTGACCTCAAGTGATCTGCACACCATGGCCTCCCAAAGTGCTGGGATTACAGGCATGAGGCACTGCACGCAGCTTATTTTCAGGTTCTTTTAGACATAATATTCTGGTGAGCTCTTTCATTCCAAGCCTGTTGCCTATTTCACCTCACTTGACCTTGTCTTTTTCCTCCTGTATGGTAACCACCTCCCCTCCCCTAGGAAGCCTTCTTGGCGGGGGGGGGCAGAAATAAATGCTAACTTGCTTGTAGCTCACACTTTCTTCATCTTTGGTTGGGAAGGAGATGGGGTTAAACCACGTGTTCCAGCCAACAGTGTGCGGAAAGACTCTGACAGGGAGAAGCACAGCATGCGGTGAAGAACTGAGAGAGGGCCAGTGTGACTGCAGCACCAAGTGCGGGGGTGAGGCACAGGCCAGCCCTGCAGGGCCTTGTAGACCTTGCCAAGAGCAGTGTGTGTGGAGGGGTGGGAAATGGAAGGTTTTAAATGGGGGTGTAGAGTGGGAGACTCTAAGGATCAGTTTTGCAATTTGGAAAAGCCTATTCCAGTTAGTAGTCATGGAGAGCATGAATTGGAGTGGATCCAGAGTGGACACTTAGACACTGGAAGGCCCGCAGGGAGGGTTTTGGTGCCTGCTGATGACAGTCTGTGGCCTATCCACACTCTTCTGTGTCCTTTGGTGAATGTGGGTGTATACTGTATGGATGTGTGGACTTGAGCTGACTTGTTCTTTTGCTGTTTAATCTGACTCATCTCCTTTGTAAACAGTAAGGTTACTGAGTGTGAAAATTTGTGTTTGTTTGTTTTCCCCCATGCTCTAAATCCCTATGATATGACACAGGAATCACAACAGATATTTAGACCATGACTACTGAAAATTGCCCCAGGGTGTCGAGTTAAAAAAAACTCACCCAAAGCCAGGCACGGTAGCTCATGCCTGTAATCCCAGCACTTTGGGAGGCTGAGGCAGGCAGACCACCTAAGGTCAGGAGTTCAAGACCAGCCTGGCCAACAGGGTGAAACCCCATCTCTACTAAAAGTACAAAAATTAGCCGGGTATAGTGGTGCGCACTTATAACCCCAGTTCTCGGGAGGCTGAAACAGAAGAATCACTTGAACCCAGGAGATGGAGGTTGTGGTGAGCCAAGACTGCGCCACTACACTCCAGCCTGGGTGACAGAGTGAGACTCACTCTCAAAACAAACAAAACAAAACTCACCCAAAAGTAACCTTTATTGGCCTTTTTAAATTGACAGTGGTTGCTTTTTGTTCTGTTTTTCGTTTCTAGACATTTGGATGGAGGATTAGATAATACAGAGAAAAATCTGGATATCTAAGCCTTCCTACTCAAAGTATGGTCTATGGACCAGCTGCATTGGGGTTAGATATGAAAAATCAACCGGGTGCAGTGGCTCATGTCTATAATCCCAGCACTTTGGGAGGCTAAGGCAGAAGGATTGCTTGAGCCCAGGAATTTGAGACCAGCCTGGACTACATAGGGAGGCCCCATCTCTAAAAAAATTAAAAAATTAGCCTTGCTTGGTGGTGCATGCCTGTAGTCCCAGCTACTCCAGAGGCTGAGGTGGGAGGATCTCCTGAGCCTAGGAGGTCAAGGTTGCAGTGAGCCATGATGGTGCTACTGCACTCCAGTCTGGGCAACAGAGTGAGACCCTGTCTCAAAAAAAAAAAAAGAGAGAGAGAAGTAAATGAATAATCGCAAGCCCCACCCCAGACTCATTGAATTAGAATCTGCATTTCAGCACAATCCCCAGTGAATTCTCACCTGTATTAAAGTTTAAGAAATATCTGGGTTTCTAAGCAACACCCCCTGCACGTCTGTGGATAATATTGGTCCCTCAGATGTATGTGGCATTTATCGCATCCCATCTGGTGTGGAAATCTGTGCCTATGGTTTCTTTCCCTGCCAGGCTGTGACTTCCTGGAAGGTAGGGGCTGAGCGCTGTGTGTAGCTCTGGATCTCTTATAGCACAATGACAGGAAGCAGAAGACCTGGGTTTCTGTCGTGCCTCTGCTACTTATGAGCTCAGTGTGTTGTATCATCTGTAAGAGGATTTGTGATCTTTCCAAAGAAATGATTCACCCCAAATCTAACTTTTTTAAAAGTCAAAGATGGGCCAGGTGTGGTGGCTCATGCCTGTAATCCCAGCACTTTGGGAGGCCAAGGTGGGTGGATCACCTGAGGTTAGTAGTTCAAGATCAGCCTGGCCAACATGATGAAACCCCATCTCTACTAAAAATACAAAAAAAAATTAGCTGGATGTGGTAGTGGGTGCCTGTGATACCAGCTACTTGGGAGGCTGAGGCAGCAGAATTGCTTGAACCCAGGAGGTGGAGGTTGCAATGAGCCAAAATTGCACCATTTCACTCCAGCCTGGGCAATAAGAGCGAAACTCCATCTAAAAAAAATTTTTTTTTAAACCGTCAAAGACAGGACCAGGCACAGTGGCTCACGCTTGTAATCTCAGCACTTTGGGAGACTGAGATGGGTGGGTCATTTGATGTCAGGAGTTAGAAACCAGCCTGGCCAACATGGTGAAACCCCATCTCTAATAAAAATACAAAAATTAGCCAGGTGGTAGTGGTGCGTGCCTGTAATGCTAGCTACTCAGGAGGCTGAGGCAGGAGAATTGCTTGAGCCTGGGAGGCGGAGGCTGAGGTGAGCCAAGATTACACCACTGCACTCCAGTCTGGGTGACAGAGTGAGATCCTGTCAAATAAATAAATAAATAAAAATAAAAGTCAAAGTCAGTGAAGACTCCTGTACCTAGTTTATTTCCAGGCTTCATCTATAGGAGAAGGCACTTTTGGATGGAAGGAAGAAGACAGTAACCAATTCTAGAGTAAATGATGTCCAGGGTATATCGGAACTTGGGCTGTAATTGCCCCAAGAGCTTCCTCAAGGTTTTTCTAGAAGTTTTCAGCTTTGCTGAAAGTTCCTGTCAGCATCAAAAGCAAGCCAAGGTCTCTATTAAAAATTCAAAAAAATTAGCCGGGCTTGGTGGCTTATGCCTGTGACTCCAGGTACTCGGGAGGCTGAGACAGGAGAATTGATAGAACCTGGGAGGTGGAGGTTGCAGTGAGCCTAGATCGCACCACAGCACTCCAGCCTCTACAAAAAACAAAAACAAAAAAAACAAGCTGATAATTATCATGGGAGAAGCATGGCAAGGTCCCTGTGCTCTGCAGATGTCTTCTGAAGCTCACATCACAGATGGAACTGTGAGGGACACATTGATAAGGGCCTGGGCAGATTCCGAGGCTCAAGACTTTCAAGGGGCCATGGAAATCAGGGTGCTGCTGTCACCTTCACTCAGAAAGCCTACCTCAGGAGGATCTGTTCCCTGCCTAGAGGGATATGACTTGGAGTCCTGAAAGGCCCCCACAGCCAGCTGTGAACAGGGAATAGCAGAGTTTGGGAAGAGATAAGGCAAGAGTAGGGAAGAAATATTTCCATTAGGCCAGTGCAAAAGTAATTGCAAAAACCGCAGTTACTTTTGCAGCAACCTAATACATGGTATGAAAGGAATATCTGCTGAACCCAAATGGTGTATCAACTGTTCTGCATGTGTGACTCTGAGGTGGGGGTGGGGTGAGGTTTGTGTTGATCTGACATTTTTCAATTCAGAAGAGGCTGGGAGATCCAGGTGGGAGAGAAGGAACTCAAAGCAAAGATCTGTCAGCCCGCTGTCAAAAATACCACACCTCAGGTCTGAGGCGCTGCAGTTTCTTCATTTTTTCTTTTTCTTTTATTTTTATAGAGATGGGGTCTTGCTATGTTGCCCAGGCTGGCCTCAAACTTCTGGGCTCTAGCAATTCTCCCACCTTAGCCTCCCGGAGTTTGCAGATTACAGCCATGAGCCACTGTGCCCTCTGCAGTTTCGATAAGGGGTTCATCAATACGGATTCTCAGCATCATACCCCCAGCAAGCTTCCCCTATTAACCAATTGTTACTAATGACCAATTATTAATTTGCAAGATAATTCTTCCTTCAACTCATACCACCTATTCAGAGTTCAGTATTTTCCTTCACTTTAATTTTTATTGCTTCTCCAGTTCAGACAGTTTAGTGCTTCCTCTTTGTTCTTCCTCACCTTGTTCATGTCAGTCCTGGCTGTTCCATCAGCAGAACTACAAAACCAAAAAGGCAACAAAATGTGAAAGGTTTCTCTGCATCCTCCAAGCAGGCTGTGGGGGAATATGAAAAAAAAGTGGGGTCTGGAGCCACAAAGACCAGAATCCAAAGCCCAGCTCTGCCATTATTAGCTGGGAGATCTTGACCAAATCACTCACCTAGTAAAATTAGCTCATAATGCTGGTGAATGCGAGAGTGATATCAGGTAATAACATGAATGGCAATTCAGTGCCAGGAATGTGCTGGACTCTTAATTTATGGAACATCAATGGAATGACTACTAAGCACTTGGTTAGACTTTCAGTCTCCCACAGGGCAACAGACACCATCTGAAAATATGTTCAGATGCCTGTAGTTGTTATCTCTAGTGGATCCTGTCTCTCCAACTAGTAAGAGTCAAGGAGGAGGAGCTAGATTTAGAGCATTCAGAATGTGTTTTCTCTAGCAGCAACAAAATCGCAAGAGCTACATTTTTGAGCATTTACTCTGTGCTAGGCAGTATTAACTCATTTCACCCTTGCAATCACTCTGTGAGGTAGGCATTAATATCACTCCTTTTTATTTATTTATTTATATTTTTGAGATGGAATTTCACTCTTGCTGCCCAGGCTGGAGTGCAATGGGGAGATCTCAGCTCACCACAACTTCCATCTCCCAGGTTCAAGTGATTCTCCTGCCTCAGCCTCCCGAGTAGCTGGGATTACAGGCATGCACCACCACACCCAGCTAATTTTGTATTTTTAGTAGAGATGAGGTTTCTCCATGTTGGTCAGACTAGTCTTGAACTCCTGACCTCGGTGATCTGCCCACCTCGACCTCCCAAAGTACAAGGGATAACAGGTGTGAGCCACTGGGCCAGGCCTATCACTCCTATTTTTACAGGTAAGAAAGCAGATCAGGCCAGGCGCGGTGGCTCACACCTGTAATCCCAGCACTTTGGGAGGCCAAGGTGGGCAGATCATGAGGGCAAGAGATCGAGACCATCCTGGCCATAGTGAAACCCCATCTCTATAAATAGAAAAAGAAGAAAAAAAAAAAAAAGAAAAGAAAGCAGATCAGAGAGGTTAAGTGACTTGCCCAAACTCCCATAATACTAGTGGATGACATACCCAAAATAGTAAGAATAGTGGTTTTTATGTACCAGGCATGTCTGTGCTCAGGGCTTTTTTTTGTATTGTATAATTTGTTGACTGCACAAAAGAGCCTGGCCAAAGGCGCATGTTGAGGCTGACACTTAGCCCCTGCTCTGTTTGCTCTGCACCCTGGCATGAGGCTGTGTCGCTTGGAGCCTTCCTCCAAGCAACACTTTTTCCTAATTTGAAAAGATGCCATATGAGCTCTCAGAGGCCCTGTTAATGCATGTGTTACCTTCTCAAAACAGCTCTGTGGGCTAGATATAAATACCTTCATTTTATAGTTGAGGAAATCCAGGCTTAGTGAGTTCAGGTCGCTGAGCTAAGTCACTTTGTAAGGGGTAAAACTAGGATTTGAGCCTGCTGCCAAAGCCTATCCTTTAAACCAGTAGGCCACTATACGGACCCCATTCCTAAGTGTTCAATTAGTGAAAAAAGAAAAAATATGTAATCATCTGGTTTTTACCTTAAAAAATGTGGCAGTTCTGGCTGGGTGCAGTGGCTCATGCCTATAATCCCAGCACTATGGGGGGCTGAGGAGAGTGGATCACAAGGTCAGGAGTTAGAGACAGCCTGACCAACATGGTGAAACTCCATCTTTACTAAAGAAATACAAAAATTAGCAGGGCATGGTGGCATGCACCTATAATCTCAGCTACTCAGGAGGCTGAGGCAGGAGAATCGCTTGAACCTGGAAGGCAGAGGTTGCAGTGAGCCAAGGTCGTACCACTGCAGTTGAGTCTGGGCAACTGAGCGAGACTATGTCTCAAAAAAAAAAAAAAAAAAAAACACGTCAGTTCTAATGAGGCCCCAGTAAGGCCTACTGAGGTCCTTAGTAAGAAAGAAAAAAAAAAAGAATTGAACAGGAAGTTGGAGCATCGGCTTTCAGTGTTTTAAACTGTGGCTTTATGCTTATTAACTATTCTGTAGTTCAGTTTTCTTGTCTGAAAGTGAGAATAACATTATAAAGGAACAGTTCTTGTTGTTGTTTGCAAAGTGTTTATGCTTACATAATAATGTCAAAATGATCCTCACATTATCAGCCCTGGGAGAAAGGCATTATTATGCTCTTTTGCTGAAGGAGATGAGTAACATGCTCATGGTAAGTAGGGCAGCATGGGGCCTGAAACCAGGGATCCTGCCTTGCCTTGCACTCCTTGCTAAGTACCTTAGAACTTTTGGAGCACCTGCAGCCTGCTTGGTGGCCCAGACATCACATGGTGCACGTGCAAGTCAGATAGCAATTGGAGACTGATATTAGTCATGTGACCAAGCTCCGTTCCTCCAGGAGACTCGGCAGGAAGGAGCACTCTGGGAGGAGTCTTTGCTTCGCTCCCACGCCTGAAAACAAAACCTCTGCCTTTGCAGGAGCTGAGGCAGTCTGAGTTACAGCCGTGCGTAATGTAAGACTTCTAGAGCTTCCTCAGGAGGGGAGGATGACCCGGTGGCATTTAGGGTCAACTCATTTCTGACAGGGCTCAGCCGTCCTGTCTCCCATCGCTGGCTGTGGCCAGGTTCAAAGGAAATACCATCTGTGGAAGCACTTTCCAAAGAGGTGTGGTCCAAGTGCAGAATGTTATTGTTTTTCCTCTCCTCTGTGGATCTCAGGAAGCCAGTTCCATCTGTGCTCAAATGACAAACTTTCTCATCCTGTGATAAAATGTGGGCTGCTGCCCCCACTCCAGCTTGGTGTCCTTCCAAAATGAAAACATACATGTGTGTTCTCTCCTCACCTCCCCAACAGCAAGCCACCACTATCTCTGGCTCTGCAGGCTACTCTATGCAGGCTGGCAAGCGCTGCCATGCATAAGGCCCCTTCTGGGTTGTGGGGATACTACTCCTTACGCGGGCAAGGTCTGTGGCTGATAGGGAAAGGGGAAATATATAAACATACAGACCTTCCAGCGATTGCCGCATTCATTGCATAAGACAAAGGTAGTCATGGGCTCATCAGCACTGCGTGTCTGCACCTGAGAGAGAGAGAAGAACCATTCACGAAGTCACTCCCCTGCTCTAGGACTTGCCGTGGCTCCCACTGTCTTTGGGAGGAGGTTGAAATCCCAGAGGTTGGCACTAATATTCCCACCCCACTTTGGCAATTTCCTTATCACTGACAACTCTGTAATGTATGCCTTCCTCTCCTCTGGCAGTCCATCAGCTCACTCCCAGTATCTCACTGTTTTCACCTGGACTTTTGTACTTTCACTCTTTTTTTTTTTTTTTTGAGACTGGAGTCTTGCTCTGTTGTCCAGATGGGAGTGCAGTGGTGCCTTCTCAGCTCACTGCAAGTTCCGCTTCCTGGGTTCAAGCAATTCTGCTGCCTTAGCCTTCTGAGTACTTCTGGGACTACAGATGCCCGCTACCATGCCTGCCTAATTTTTGTATTTTTAGTAGAGGTGAGGTTTCACCATGTTGGCCAGGTTGGTCTAGGACTCCTGACCTCAAATGATCCACCCACCTCTGCCTTCAAGGTGATGCTGGGATTACAGGTGTGAGTCACTGTGCCAGCCTTTTTTTTTTTTTTTTTTGAGATGAAGTATTGTTCTTGTCACCCAGGCTGGAGTGCAATGGCTTGATCTCTGCTTACTGCAATCTCTGCCTCCTGGGTTCAAGTGATTCTCCTGCTTCAGCTTCCCAAATAGCTGGAATTACAGGTGCCCGCCACCATGCCCGGCTAATTTGCACTTTCACTCTTGTTGAGCTTTCATAACAGATCTCTCTTTTCTTGCCTCAAGACTCATCTCCTACAGGAAGCATTCCCTGACTCACCAGTGAACACCCCCTACTGGCCATGCTCACTTGAGTGAGCTGGAAGCAGCCTCAGCGGTCTAATTTATCTTCCTCATTTCACTGGTGGAAGACCTGAGGCCCACAGAGGAAAAGGAACTTAAATATCATTGGTACTATTTAACGTATGTCTTCTAGTTTCTCATCCTCTTAGCTTCATCACTCAGGTGCAGGAACTGAGTATCCCACGATAAAGCCCTGACACTCCTGTCACCCAAGCTGGGTCGCAGTGGTGCAATTGTGGCTCACTGTAACCTCAATTCACTGTAGCCTCAACCTCCTAGGCTCTAGTGATTCTCCTGCCTCATCGGCACCCATTTCTCCATCCCCCCACCTCCCGGCCCCGCATTCAGTAGCTGGGACTATAGGCACACACCACCAAGCCTGGCTAATTTTTGTATTTTTAGTAGAGATGGGGTTTTACCATGTTGCCTAGGCTGCTCCAAGCCTAGGCTCAAGCCATCCACCTGTCTCGGCCTCCCAAAGTGCTGGGATTACAGACATGAGCCGCTGCACCTGGCCAAGCCTAGAGAGTTTTAACCCTTTCTCCTCTCTGGCTCTTTTCTAAGCTTCTGTCTGGTTTTCCACCTCTATGGCCCTGCAGCCCCTTCCCCCTCGGACCCGTCCCCTCACGGTCCACACCTGGTTATAGGTGCAGTTCTTCTTCTTGCATTTGCTGCACTGGAAGAGGTCAGTGGTGGTGCCACCGGTCTTGGCCATCTGGTGCTCACGGATGGCCTCCTGGGTCATGGCATTCCTCAACTCCCTCAGTTCATCACTGGCCATTTCCTGGAGAAAAAAGAGTCTGCCCTTCAGGACTGAGGAGTTGCAGGGGCCCTGCCCCACAATGGGTTTCTAGATAGCCTGAATAGAAAAGGAGGTAACATGCTTTATTGACTGCAAGGAGCTGGAAGGAGGCCTGGATTCCGGGTCCTGCCCCAGCTGGGAGAAAGCTGTCCCCATGCCGCCCATGGCTGGAAGGAGAGCAGCAGGCAAACAGCTTCTGGCTGAGGATGGGCACTCCTGTGTATATTTCTTCAGATCTGGGGCTCATCCTTTCCTCTCTGAACTCGACCCAGTGCCCTTTTACACTGTGATCTCTGCCCTGATGTTCTGCTTAGTGGGAACCTTGGTGCAACTACCTATGACTTGCTGCTGCTACCCCCTCCCCGAAGATCCTGGGCTCACACAACTAACTGCTCCTCTGTGAGCATCCACCTGAGATCATCTTTTTCTGAGAGTTTCTACAGAAGAGTCTCCAGTCTCCCATCATGTCTGCATCATCCACGCCTTTGCCTTCTCTGTCCACCTCCCTGGCCACATGTCTCCCCTTAAGCCTCTGCCAGAGGAGAGCAGAGAGGGGGATAGTTAAACTACAGAGAGCTCCAGTTAAGGGTTGGTAGAAGGGGAAGGAGGATGGCTGATGCTAATGTCAAAACGAGGATTTTAAACTTTTTTTTGAGATGGAGTCTCACTGTATCTCCAGGCTGGAGTGCAGTGGCATGATCTTGGCTCACTGCAACCTCCGCCTCCTGGGTTCAAGTGATTGTCCTACATCAGCCTCCCGAGTAGCTGGGACTACAGGCAAGTGCTACCATGCCCAGCTAATTTTTGTATTTTTAGTAGAGACGGGTTTCACCATGTTGGCCAGGATGGTCTTGAATTCTTGTGATTCCCCCACCTTGGCTTCCCAAAGTGCTGGGATTACAGGTGTGAGCCACTGCACCTGGCATAAACATTTTATCGTTGCTATCTGTCCTGACTCCTTAAACCATGGAAAAGAAAGTTGACATAAAAGTTAAAGCATTTTAGTGTGCCAACCTTTCATTATAACCACTTAGGCTTCTTGATAAAATGCAGATTCCTATGAATCTGAATTGCTGAGGGCAGGCCCAGGAATACGCATTTTTAAAAGTTATTTAATTTCAAAGGCTGGGCCATAACCAATGGCAGGAGAATGTACAAAAACAAGTTAACGAATGTCATTTACCCATATGAGTAAAAAGTAGCTAACTTTAATTTTGGGGCATTTTCCAGAGCATAAAACATTTGCCCACTCAAAATTTATTGGATGTGGCCAGGTGCGGTGGTTTATGCCTGTAATCCCAGCATGTTAGAAGACAAAGGCGGGTGGATCACCTCAGGTCAGGAGTTTGAGACCAGCCAGGCCAACATGGTGAAACCCCATCTCTACTAAAAATACAAAAAATTAGGCGGGTGTGATGGCGGGCACCTAAAACTCCAGCTACTCTGTAGGCTGAGGCAGAGAATCACTTGAACCTGAGAGGTGGAGGTTGCAGTGAGCAGAGATTGCACCACTGCACTGGAGCCTGGGCAAAAAAAGTGAAACTCTGTCTCAAAAATTAAAAAAAGAAACAAAATCTATTGGATGCCAATTTATTGAGTGCCTTTAACTATATTGGTTTGCCGGTAAACCCACTTTGGCTGTGGGGGTGCCTTGATTTGTAGCATTTGTCAGCTTCCATGGTACAAAATGCTCCCACTGTGGCCAATTTCAAGCTGTTAATGTGATGTAACTGAATACAGAGTTGGGGAGAGCTACACATCACCAGCTCCCTTGAGGTGGTAGGAGCTAGCTCAAGCATGCTACTGCCTCTGAGTCCAACGGATTCAGAAAGGAAGATCTGGTTCCTCCTCCCAACTAGTGCTAATCTGGTAGGGTAGCCAAGCATTTACACAGGATTGCAAGAAAGGGAAGGAAGTACTAAAGCAAAGGTATATAAGGTGCAGGGGATGGGGGCTAATTGTTTGGGGTCCTGGTGGGTCATGAAGAAGGTAGTACTTTAACCAGTCTTGAAAGACAGGAGTTCCTGGGGGTGGGTGGTAGCACATACCAGACAAATAAAACAGCAGGGCCAGGTGTGGTGGCTCATGCATGTAATCCCAGCACTTTGGGAAGCTGAGGAGGGCAGATCACCTGAGATCAGGAGTTTGAGACCAACCTGGCCACATGGCGAAACTTTGTCTCTACTAAAAATAGAAAAGTTAACCAGGCACAGTGATACATGCTTGTAGTCCCAACTAATTTGGAGGCTGAAGCAGGAGAATCACTTGAACCTGGAAAGTGGAGGTTGCAATGAGGTGAGATTGTGCCATTGCACTCCAGCCTGGGTGACAGAGCCAGACTCCACCCTCCACCCTGCCAAAAAAAAAAAAACCCACAAAAAACAAAACAAAAAAAGAACAGCAGACACAAAAGATTAGAGGACAAGAATAGCATGTTTGGGGAAAAGTATTTGGGGTAGGTTCAAGTTGAGTGTGGGAGATGTGGCTGGAGGTCAGATTGTGGAAGGAAGGTCTTGTGTGCCAGCTAAGAAATAGAGAACAGAAAAATCTATCCAGCCACACACCAATCCATTTACTTCTCTGCCCTGCCTCATTACAATGAGGCAGCATCAGAAACACAGAGAGTAAGTACAACACTGTAAAAAATAAGGTAGAAAATGAGGGAAAGGTGAGTCAGAGACCACACTGGATCCTCATGTTATATACACCGTTAGAGAATGGCACCAGTGTGAATTCAGTCTATATTTGTTGAGTCCCGTGATGTGCCAGACACTGCTCTCAGTGCTGGGTGGACTGTGAATGCCGGTCCTCATGGGACTGACCCACTCAGCAGCGCTCATGGGTATCTCAGAGCCTACTCCATTCTTTGCTATGTCTGGGTAGGGAGGAAAAGAGAAGGAAGAATGAGGAAGTCAGATGAACAAGGAAAGAGGCATAAAAACACAGTCGGGGAAGGAAATGCTGAGAGAGACACCGTCCACATGGGTCCTGGTGGGAGCGTACCAGCACAGCAGGCAGCCCAAGCCCAAACTCAGATTTTTCTTTCTTTCCTTTTCTTTTTTTCTAGACAGAGTCTCACTCTGTTGCCTAGGCTGGGAGTACAGTGGCACGATCTCCGCTCACTGCAACCCCCACCTCCCGGGTACAGGCAATTCTCCTGCCTCAGCCTCCCGAGCAGCTGGGACTACAGGTGTGTGCCACCATAGCTGGCTAATTTTTGTATTTATAGTAGAGACAGGGTTTTGCCATCTCGAATTCCTGAGCTCCGGAGATCTGCCCACCTTGGCCTCCCAAAGTGTTGGGATTACAGGCATGAGCCACCGCACCTGGCCTGATTTGTAATGGAACAAAAATTGTCCAGTATCTCTTTTAGAATCATCCTGCACAGAGCAAAAGTTGACCCAGGATGAAGGTCTCCCGATATTCATCTGTTGAAATCCTAACCCCAAGGTGATGGTATTAGGGGGTCTTTGGGAGGTGGCTAGCTCTTAAGGGCAGAGCCCTGCTGCAGGGGACTACGGCCCCTCCAATAGGGGCCCGAGAAAGACCCCTCCACCATGTGAGGTCACAGTGAGAAGATGGCTGTCTATGAGGAAGCAGGCCCTCACTAGACACTGAATCTGCTGGTGCCCTGATCTTGGACTGTCCAACCTCTAGAAATTCGAGAAATAGGCTGGGTGCAGTGGCTCACATCTGCAATCCCGGCACTTTGGGAGGCCGAGCAAGACAGATCACTTGAGGTCAGAAGTTTGAGACCAGCCTGGCCAACTTAGTGAAACCCCATCTCTACTAAAAACACAAAAATTAGCCGGGCATGGTAGTGGGCACCTATAGTTCCAGCTACTCAGGAGGCTGAGGCAGGAGAATCACTTGAATCCAGGAGGCAGAGGCTGCAGTGAGCCAAGATTGTGCCACTGCACTCCAGGCTGGGCAACAGGGTAAGACTCCACCTCAAAAAAAAAAAAAAAAAAAAAAACAACAGCAAACGAAAAAAGAAATGTGAGAAATAAATGACTGTTGTTTATAAGCCACCCAGGCTACGGCATTTTGTTATGGCAGTCTGGACTGACAAAAGACACAACTAAAGCCAAGTTGCAATTTATAACTCCAGGCATATGTTGCTATTTACCTAAAAAGATCCAATATTTTAATTAGGCAGAAAGATAACCCTGGTTTACCTGTGCCAAGTTCCCCATTTCATCCTAAAGCCAAGGTTCTTTGTTGTTTGTTTTGGGTATTTGAGGAAAGCAGTGAACCCTCTCCTCCAAAGAATGTACAGACACACGCTACATAACACAGACACACACTTCCACATGCTACACATACACAAACCACACAGGACACACATATACTAATCATACACATACTTCACACCATACATCATACACACACACTCCATACATTATACATAGTGCACACACACTCCACACATCATACACAACACACACTTTCCACACATCATACACACCACACACCCTCCACACAACATACACACCACACACACTACATGCATCATACACACACTCCACACATCATACACGCACTTTCCACACATCATACCCCATACACACTCCACACATCATACACACCACACACACTCCACACATTATATATACCACACAGATATACTAAACACCCAACATGCCTCACACATCACACACACCACACACACTCCACACATCAAACACACCACACCACTCCACACATACACACTCCACACATCATACACAACACACACACTTTCCACACATCATACACACCACACACACTCCACACATTATACACACCGCACACACTACATGCATCATAACACACTCCACACATCATACAAACCACACACACTCCACACATACACACACACTCCACACATCATACACACCACACACACTACATGCATCATAACACACTCCACACATCATACACACCACACACACTCCACACACACACTCCACACATCATACACACCACACACACTACATGCATCATAACACACTCCACACATCATACACACCACACACACTCCACACACACACACTCCACACATCATACACACCACACACACTACATGCATCATAACACACTCCACACATCATACACACCACACACACTCCACACACACACACACTCCACACATCATACACAACACACACTTTCCACACATCATACACACCACACACACTCCACACATCATACACACCACACACACTACATGCATCATAACACACTCCACACATCATACACACCACACACACTCCACACACACACACTCCACACATCATACACACCACACACACTACATGCATCATAACACACTCCACACATCATACACACCACACACACTCCACACACACACACACTCCACACATCATACACACCACACACAACATGCATCATAACACACTCCACACATCATACACAACACACACACTTTCCACACATCATACACACCATACACACTCCACACATCATACACACCACACACACTCCACACACACCCACTCCACACATCATACACACCACACACACTACATGCATCATAACGCACTCCACACATCATACACACCACACACACTCCACACACACACACTCCACACATCATACACACCACACACACTACATGCATCATAACACACTCCACACATCATACACAACACACACACTTTCCACACATCATACACACCATACACACTCCACACATCATACACACCACACACACTACATGCATCATAACACACTCCACACATCATACCCGCACTTTCCACACATCATACACCATACACACTCCACACAACATACACACCACACACACTCCACGCATGCGCAGCCCCCACACTCCATACATCATATACACCAGTGGTCCCCAACCTTTCTGGCACCAGTGATTGGTTTCCTGGAAAACGACTTTTCCACAGACAGGGTAGGGGATGGTTTCAGGATGATTCGAGTGCATTGCACTCTTATTTCTCTTACTATTACATTGTGATATATAATGAAATAATTATCCAACTCACCAAATCAGCGGGAGCTCCAAGCTCCCTTGTTTTCCTGCAACTAGATGGTCCCCACTTGGGGTAATGGGAGACAGTGACAGATCATCAGGCATTAGACTCTCATAAGGAGCTTACAACATAGATCCCTCACATATGTTGTTTATAATAGGCTTCGTACATCTATGAGAATCTAATGCCGCCACTGATCTGACAGGAGGCCGAGCTCAGGCAGGAATGCCAGCAACGGGGAGCGGCTGTAAATACAATGAAACTTCACTCGCTCACCCACTGTTCACCTCCTGTTGTGTGGCCTAGTTCCTAACAGGTACCAGCCTGTGGCCCAGGGGTTGGGGACCCCTAATATGTACCATACACACATGCTTCATATGTACACACCATACATATACATAGCACACACACATCCCACATATACACATATAACCCCTACACACCTCACACATCATATGTACCACACAGACACGCACTCCACATGTACACCCACACACACTCCACACGCACCTAGCTCTGGGGCCAGACAGTTGCCTCCTAGGCTTCAACCCTTTCTAGCTTTATGCATGCGCAAATCAGTTTACTCCTCTGAGCCTCAGGATCCTCATCTGTAGAACGGGGATAATATGCCTTTCTATCTCAGCTGGCATGAAGGGAAACTCGGCCAATTCGCTGAACACATTTAGCACAGGACTTTTTTTTTTGAGGTGGTGTCATGCTCTGTCGCCAGGCTGGAGTGCAGTGGTGCGATCTCAGCTCACTGCTTCTGACTCCTGGGTTTAAGTGATTCTCCTGCCTCAGCCTCCTGAGTAGCTGGGACTACAGGCATGCGCCACTGCACATGGCTAATTTTGGTATTTTAGTAGAGACAGGGTTTCACCATATTGGCCAGGATGGTCCCGATCGTCTGACCCGATCTTTCATGATTCACCCGCTTCAGCCTCCCAAAGTGCTGGGATTACAGGGGTGAGCCAGGGCACCCAGCCAGCACTTATAACTTATTAGCTGTGTTCAGGATCCTGCTAGTCCAGAGCCTGGTGGGGAGGCTGAGATGGGGCTGGTTGGAAAAGCTCCCTGGCTCATTGCTGCTGAGTCACAAGCCACTGCCCCTCTGTACTGGGCAGGGCTGGGGGGACCTGGCTTCCCGTTCCACCATGCAGACACCCTGATCTCACCTCTGCCGTCATCTTGGCTATGAGCCCTGCAGAGATGGCCCCACTGAGCACATTTCGCCGCAGGCCGGGGTTCCTGGGGTCCTTGAGGTTGCTGATGCGGCTTCGCACGCGGTTCCGGTACTTCATGTCCGTGCTCTTGAGCTCTTGGTAGATATGTGATTCAGTCAAGGGCCCGCCAGCCACTCATGGAGGGGCACAGAAGGGTGCAGGCCTGGCCCTGAAGCCTGAGGAGCTCCAGAACCCTCTCTTCCTCTCCCTGGACTCCTACAGGGGTTGGGCCCCTCTTTTGTGACCTCTGACTCCCCAGGTTGGGCATTTGTGGTCAGCCAAGTATCAGAGACAAGAAACAGCCTCTGGGGTAAGATCAGATCACAGCAAGCACTACAGTGACAGGGACATCGGGAACAGGCAGCCTGGGTTTGTCTGAGCCTCTTGTGTGACCACAGGTGAGGTTCCTTATTTATAAAATACAAGGATTCCAGAAGCTAAGCCACATGGTGCACTAGTGTGGTGTCTGGGACATATCAAATGTTTAATATGTATGGGCTGTTAAGATGATGACAAGGATGCGGACAGCCTCTAGTCTGTAAGGGCCCCTGGAGGTTGTGAGTCCAGCTTTCAGAGGAAAAGATTAAGAGCCACATGTTTAAGGCTCTAAGAAGTATTGCAAAAAAGAAATCACTGAGCTATGTTTAATCTGGTGTTTCCAATAAAGAGCCCCTTTTCCCTCCATCCTTTCTCCTACAATACCTGTTACCATCCCATGGAAACTGTGCTGGGAATTGCTGGTCAGAACTACTCCTTCCATTAATAGATGAGGCTTACAGAGGGTGCAGGCCCTTGCTCAAGGCCACGGGGCAAATTCCCGGCAGAGACAGGGCTGGAAGCCAAACCCCCCCCCCTGACGGTAACACTCTCTCCACTCACCCCGCAGGAAGTCACCCCTGGCCACCAACCACAGTGAGTTTCTGTCCAAACTGCATCCTAGGCAGGCTTTTGAGCCTCCCACTCCCTCCACCCTCTGGAGGAGCTCAGGGAACACAGCCTCATTTTCTTGGTCTCCTGAGCCAAGGAAGATCAGGAAGACAAAGCTGTTGCTGGGAAAAACCATATACAAGAAAGAGACTTCAGGGAATGTGGAAAAATGGAAACAGATGACTTGCTAGAAGTGGTGGGAAGGGAGGTGGTAGTCTTTCTTTTTTCTGTTATTGTTTTAATGTTTGTACAATAAAAGTGTGAAAAGCAAAGAATATGCCACAATGCACGTCAAAGCCAAAAAATGTGTTTGAAAATGTGCCACTCGGGATTCCTGGGGTGTGTTGATCTGTGGGGGCAGAAGGGCTGGCGGGACTTTCTCCAGCCCCTTCCTGACTCTGTCTCCACGTCCCAAGGCCGCAGGAGAGGACAAGGTGGAAAGCAGACCAGAGGTCACTGGCCCCTCAGAAGAGCTTTTGGCTGCTATGTTAGCACAGAGCCACTCCAAAGAGGACAGATCTATTTTAGGACACAGAGCAGTCAAGCCCCCAAGTGTACCCTCTCCCTGACCTCCAGCTAGCTAAGAACAAAGAGCTAAAGCGTTTGATGCAGCTTTTGTTTCCTCTCCTTTAGAGGAAGGACACTCAGGCCAGGCACAGTGACTCACGCCTGCAATCCCAGCACTTCGTGAGGCTGAGGAGGGCAGATCACCTGAGGTGGGGAGTTCAAAACCAGCTTGGCCAACATGGTGAAACCCCATCTCTACTAAAAATACAACAAAATTAGCTGGGTGTGGTGATGGACACCTGTAATCCCAGCTACTCGGGAGGCTGAGGCTGGAGAATCACTTGAACCCAGAAGGCAGAGGTTGCAGTGAGCCGAGACGGTGCCACTGCACTCCAGCCTGGGCGACAGAGCAAGATTCCATCTCAAAAAAAAAAAAAAAAAAAGAAGAACTTTCAGTGGATGGAGGAAAGGCTGGGAGGGAAACTTTGTACTGGACCATCTGCTGTTGTTTCAAACTGGGCTTGAAGGTGGAAGGGACCTGCTTGAAGGGATGACTGTTCAGGAGAAAATGAAGATGAAACTCGTGATATATCTGATACCTTGTGCTCTGCCTTCCTGAATTAACAGGAAATGGTGAAAATGTACTTTCTGAGGTGCTGAATGGCTCCAGACTTGTTGAGGTATTGCTGATTAATCATTAAATGGCAATGGAGAGAAACCACCTGAAAATGAGTTGGAGGAAATTAGGATAGGCCACAGGCAGGAGGTGGAAATGCACATTTGTTGTCTGCAGCCCATGGTCCTCCCCAACAGACCCTTCTGAACTCCTCAGGTAGAACCCAGGAGCCCTCAAAAGGGTCACTCACACCTCAGTGTGACACTTGGACTTCTTTTCCCGGATTGTCTCCCTGCTCCAACACCCTGCAAACCTTGTCTCTAGTAAAAGAGGCTCTATGTTTTCATTCAGTGGGGGCCAAGGGAGGAGGGATTTTTTTTTTCTCCAAGCCAAACATCTTTTGGTGCAACAGATCTATTCATATATCCCAGTGGTGGTCACCTCTCCTGTCTACACAGGGCCCCTTTCAGATGAGAAGTTGGGGAGAGGAGGCACATGGAAAGGGTTCAGTACATGGAATCCAAAGACCAGGGTCTCCAGTCCCATTTTGATACCCAGTAGTTCTGAGCCTCAGACTCTTTGTCTATAAAATGGGAACGGTCTCTACCTCACAGAGAATGCTGTGAGAGCTAACAGAGGTGGTGGGAAGTGTCAACTGGCCATTGCAGTGCTTGATATATATTTGGGAGTTAAAAAAAAAAGGAGGGGGTGGGCACGGTGGCTCATGCCTATAATCCCAGCACTTTGGGAGGCCAAGGCAGGTGGATCACCTGAGGTCAGGAGTTTGAGACCAGCCTGACCAACATCGTGAAACCCTGTGTCTACTAAAAATACAAAATTATCCTGGCATGAAGGTGCATGCCGGTAATTCCCTCTATTTGGGAGGCTGAGGCAGGAGAATAGCTTGAACCGAGGAGGCAAAGTTTGCAGTGGGCCGAGATTGTGCCATTGCACTCCAGCCTGGGCAACAAGAGCAAAACTCTGTCTCAAAAAGAAAAGAAAAGGGAGCTATTAACATCAGAGGACAGGAGAAGGGGAAAGGCTGAGCCTGGGAAATGCTGACCTCTCGTTCTAATCTGTTCCAAAAGGTAATGACTTGACCAACTGAGGCACGCTATTACACAGTCTAGCTGGCACAGCTTCTGAGCCCCCAGTTTCCAGAGTCTGGGTTCAGATCCCATCTCTGCTACTACTATAGCTATATGGGCTTTGGGGAATGATTTGACCTATGTAAGTCTCAGTTACTTCACCTGTGAAACTGGAGAAATCAGGGAGCCTACCCTGTGGAGTTGTTATCAACACTGAATGAGGTACTGTTCATTTTCAAGTTTTGCTGGCAGGTGTGAAACAATAACAAATGTTAGACAGAATTAAGAGCTCTGGTTCAAGGGCAGAGCAGGGGCTGTTCCTGGAGCCCTTCCTCTCCTTCCTCACTGTCCCAGCTCACTTGCACTTTGAAGGGCTGCTGCTAGATGGTCCAGACACCCACAGCCCCCGGCACAGTTCAAGGATATGATCTTCGATTTCTGATGCCATCTTGTCACAGTTGACTCCATAGTCCTTGTAATCATCTAAAAGAGATTTGAGAAATATAGGCATCAGCCAGACACAACCTAGGCAGTGAAACCTGCTTATACTACAGTGTTCCTGTACCATCCCCTGGAATGCCGAGAAAGACTGCATCACTTCTGTCTTTGGTGAGACTGGGAAAAGGAACCCCTTTCCTCCCCCATCCCTAGCCCAGGCCCTCTCACCGTCCGCCTTCAGGGCTGCTGACAGCATCTCCACACACTTGTCCCGGACAGAGTCTCCTGTGAGATAGCAGGGGGCCAGGAGGCAGATGGAGGAGGCAAACGTGGGGGTCAAAGGGCTGCTAGGTGTTTTGGGACTCTCCGCTTTTGATTTGCTGCTGTTTGATCTGAGGATGACAATCCGTAACAGACATTTGACATTAAGAGAGCAAAGCATTTATTGAGCAGCATTCTAGATGTCTTGATGGATGGTCTCCTATAATCCTCATAACAACCTGATGAGGTAGGTACTATTTTAGGCACTTGACATAGATCATCTCATTTAATCCTCGTGACAACCCCATGAAGTCAATACTATTCTTATCCCTATTTGAGAGACACATTTTAAAGTGCATTGTAGAAAAAGATGTATCTAAAGGTGCTCTTGACTCAGGTCACACATTGATGAACCAGTAGAAACAGAATTCAAAGCCAGGCAGTTGGCTCTTAACCAGCCACTGTGCTTTACTCATTACAGAACAGTGTAACACCACCAATAATTATATGCAACTGATTATGCACTGTGCTAGCTGCTCTCTATCTGTGGTCTCATAAATATATGAAGTGTTTATTCACTCATTCACCAGATATTTACTAGACACCTATTCTCCAGGCAGTTGCCAAGAACAAGGGATAATGCAGACAAGTCAGCAGAGCAACTTTCCCTCAAGGAACTTACAGTCTAGTGAATAGTGACTATCTACCTCCATTTAAAAGGGCTGGCTTTACTAGATGCCAGAACTGTGCCAGGCACTTTACAAGCATTTTCTAATTTAATCTTCATAGCAGTCCCAGAAGGTAGATACTCTCATCATCCCCATCTAAAGATGAGGAAATAAACCCAGAGAGTTGCACCACTGAGATCTGCCTAAGGCTATACACCACCACCATTTGAACCCGCATCTGTCTAATCCCACACCTATGCTCTTTTTATTAATTTATTTTATTTTTTGAGATAGGGTCTCTCTCTGTCACACAGGCTGGAGTGCAGTGACGCAATCATGGCTCACTACAGCCTTGACTTCCTGCGCTCAGGCACTCCTCCCACCTCAGCCTCCAAGGAGCTGGGACCATAGGAGCATGCCATCATGCCTGGTGAATTTTGCATCTTTTTGTAGAAATGGGATCTCACCATGTTGCCCAGGCTGATCCTCAAACTCCTGGGCTCAAGCGATCTACCTGCCTTGGCCTCCCAAAGTGCTGGGATTACAGGCCAATACTAGATTACCCAGTCAACACCTATGCTATAATCTATGATGTACTATCTAAGAGTGATCTCGCTCTGATTTTGTTTAAAAAATATACACATATGCATGTATGCAGAGATAATTAGAAAGCTAACTATGAGGCTCGAGCTATCATAACAAAATACCAAACTGGGTCGCTTCACTAACAGAAATTTATTTCTCATGGTTCTGGAGGCTGGGAAGCCCAAGAACAAGTTGCTGCTGGCCAATTTTCTTTCTGATGAGAGCTCTCTCTTTGCTTGTGAATGGCAATCTTCTCATTGTATTCACGTGGTGTCTTTTCTTATAGGGACGCCCTATAAGATTCTACTGGATCAGGGCTCCACCCTTATGACCTCACTTAACTTTAATGAAGGCCCTATCTCCAAATACAGTCACAATGGGGTTTTGGAATTTCAACATATGAATTTTAGGGGGTCACAAACGTTCAGCTGGTAACACCCCATGTTAATAGCAAGTATCTCTCCGAGATGGAATGACAGGAGATTTTCATTTTCTTCTTTTGCTTAGGCCTATTTGCTAAATCTTCTATGAAGAATATATTTACTTCTGTGATGAGGAACACTTTTTTTTTTTGTTTGTTTTGAGAGGGAGTCTCCCTCTGTCACCCAGGCTGGAGTGCAGTGGCATGATCTCAGCTCACTGTAACCTCTGCCTCTTGGGCAAGCGATTCTCCTGCCTCAGCCTCCTAAGTAGCTGAGAATACAGGCACATGGCACCATATCTGGTTAATTTTTGTACTTCTTTTTTTTTCTGAGACAGAGTCTCACTTTTGCACCAGGCTCCAGGCTGGAGTGCAGTGGCACAATCTCAGCAACCTCTGCCTCCTGGCTTCAAGCAATTCTCCTGCCTCAGCCTCCCAAGTAGCTGGGACTACAGGCATGTGCCACCATGCCCAGCTAATTTTTGTATTTTAGTAGAGACAGGATTTTACTAAGTTGGCCAGGATGGTCTCAATCTCTTGACCTCGTGATCCATCCACCTTGGCCTCCCAAAGTGCTGGGATTACAGGCATGAGCCACCTCGCCCAGCCAATTTTTGTATTTTTAGTAGAGACAGGGTTTCGCCATGTTGACCAGGCTGGTCTTCAACTCCTGACCTCAGGTGATCCACCCACCTTGGCTTCCCAAAATGCTGGGATTACAGGCATGAGCCATCATGCCTGGCCAAAAAAAGCATTATTGGCAGAAATGCATGGAAGTGTGGAAGACCAAGGTTTGCATGGGCAATGTTGGAGGGCTCAGTGCAGCTGGAGCATGAGGGTGAGGGAGCTTGTAAGAAGGTGAGGAAGTTAGAAAGAAAGGATCTGACCAGACTCTGGGGTTTGTTAAGGATGGTAAAATAAAAGCCACCATTTACCACAGGTCTGCTGTTTATTCTTGATAACCTAAAAGTCACAAATTACCAGGCCCCTTCTATAGATGATGGAAAGGAGCCTTGAAGAAGTGAAGTGTGTCGGTCTCCCTGGGCTCAAACGATCCTCCTGCCTCAGCCTCCCATGTAGTAGGACTGACTCCAGGCAGATGCCACCATACCAGGCTAATTTTTTTTTGGCAGAGATGAGGGTCTCAATATGTTGCTCAGGCTGGACTCAAACTCCTGGCCTCAAGTGATCCACTCGCCTTGGCCTCCCAATGTGCTGGGATTACAGGCCTGAGCCACTGTGCCGGGCATGACTTCGTGATAGTTGCACAACTCCCTCCCTCCCGAGATGTTTTTAAACTATTTTTAGGGTAAAAGCCAGGAAGTCCAGAAGTCTCTGTTTTCATTCCTCTGCTCTTCTCACCTCCTTTTTCAATAACCCATCAGAATCTGCCAGCCAGCCCCTATATCACTGCTCAGGAAGAAATGAACTCATCAGAGTTGAAAAATTAAGGTCCCCTCCTGGAGTGAAATTAAGACCCACTCGCGGGTCTTACCACACTGAGCCCTTGTGGAAGCACCCAAAAAGCTGCTGCACTTCCTCACTCCAGGAGGCAGCATTCACATTATTAGCTGGGTGCCTCCTGGAATTGTATAGTGCACAGCCTGGGCAGCTGCACCAGGTAGCCTTGGGCTCTGGATCCATAGCTGCTTCTCGTGTTCATTTTCAGGCTGTGGACATGCGACTTCTTTTCAAGAAGAAGAGGATTTTGGACTTCTGACAAAGTCCTTCAGGCCCAGAGAGTTGTGTCTGAGAGTGAGGCTGACTGATTAGCTCAGGCTTCTCAGGATCAATTACCTGGAGTCACCAGAGAATCCCAACCAACATCCTGCTGAGCACAGCTCAGTGTGGACTCTGCTGGTGACTTCCCCGCCTCTTGCTGTTTGGCCTGACCTTAGTCCTCTCTGTCATTCCAGACCCCTGGACTTTTGGGATTTTTGCATTCTCTAGAGACTTGAGGTTCATCAAAGGTGTCTCTGTGCATACTGGTGAGGTGGGCTGGGGATGGTAAGCTCTGTTCTTATAAGGTTTACATTTTGAATTTCTAAAAATGTTGTTCAAAGGGATTCATTTCCTAGTTTTTTTTTTTTTTTTTTTTAATGCAGTTTGAAACTTACTGTAGTAGATTAATCTATCCTTGATTCTACCCAGCCCTGCCTGATAACTGGGTTGCCTGGCAGCATGGTAGAGGGACAGGGAAGCTGAGATCCAAGCGGATTTCTCCTGGAGTCAGATTGCAGCAGGAGGGAACGGTTTGGGTGAGTAAAGGCTGGAGAGGGGGTGAACTAGTGGGGCTGTCAGCAATCAAAAGGGACGCTCCTGACCCCAAGCCTGGTCCTGGTCACCGGGTTCCCACCTGAACAGTCATGATAGCCCCAAAGCTGGTTTTCCTGTGTCCTCTTCCTCCACTACAATCCATTCACCAAAAGGCAGCCAGAGGGACTTTTCAAAATTCACAGCGATCAAGTCACTCCCCTGCTAACATATGGGTTTCCACCCCCCGGGGCCATGGACCGGCACCAGTCTGTGGTTTGTTAGGAACCAGGCATCACAGCAGGAGGCAGGCCCTACTGTGAACTGTGCATGTAAGAGATCTAGGGTGCACGGTCCTTATGAGAATCTAATACATGATGATCAGAGGTGGAACAGTTTAATCTTGAAACCATCCCCCACAAGCCCTGGTCCGTGGAAAAATTGTCTTCCATGAAACCAGCCCCCTAGTGCCAAAAAGATTGGAGACTGCTGTTGTAACAGCTTCTAATTATTTTCAGCATAAAGTAAAACTCCTGGCTGGGTATGGTGGCTCATGCCTAAAGTCTCAGCACTTTCGGGGACCAAGGTGGGAGGATCATTTGAGGTCAGGAGTTCGAGACAAGCCTGGCCAACATGGCCAAACCCTGTCTGTACTGAAAACATAAGAATTAGCTGGGTGTGGTGGCATACGCCTGTAATCCCAGCTACTTGGGAGGCTGAGGCAGAAGCGCTTGAACCCAGGAGGTGGAGGCTGTAGCGAGCCGAGATCATGCCATTGCACTTCATCCTGAGTGAAAGAGAGAGACTGTGTCTCCAAAACAAACAAAAAAAACAAAAACAAAAAACTCACCACGGCCTGCCAGCCCGTCCACGTCCTGCCCCTACCCGCTTTCTGATGTAACCTCATGCCATGTTTTCCGCATGGCTTACGAAAGGCCCCCACAGCACTGCTTCTTTCTGTTCATAAACACACCCATCCCTCCCACTGATGGGCCTTTGCACAGGCTGGTCTTTCCTCCAGACATGCTCTTCCTCCTCCTGGAATGCTCTACCTTCCCTTATAACCTCAGCCAAGGCTGATGGTCCCCCCCGTAACTCTCTAGCACATCACCTGATTTCTCTCTTTTACAGCACTTACCCAAGTCTATGATTAACTTGTTTATGTGTTTATAAACATTGCCTGACTCCATCTCCAGATTACAGGCTCCAAAGGATTGCAAACCTGTCATGGGTTCACCATGTGCCACTGCACTTCAACCTGGCAACAAAGCAAGACTCCATCTCCAAAAAAAAGAACCCAGGCTCTGGAGTCAAACTCCCAGGTTCCCACAGCCTGATACCAACACTTTGTAGCGATGTGACCATGGGTGAGTTCCTTAACTTCTAGGTGACTCAGATTTTTCACATGTAAAATGGGAATAACAATAGTACCCATCTTATGGAGCAGATGAAAGCAACTAAGTGGCAAAGTATTAGGCAGTTTACATAGATAACCAGGTTTCATGTGAGTATTATCAGAAAGTATTATGAATTTATTGAACTCATACATGGTTTGGGAACAGTACTTGGTATCTCATTACCTCATTTTTTTTTTTTTGAAACGGAGTTTCGCTCTTGTTACCCAGGCTGGAGTGCAATGGTGCGATCTCGGCTCACCGCAACCTCCGCCTCCTGGGTTCAGGCAATTCTCCTGCCTCAGCCTCCTGAGTAGCTGGGATTACAGGCACGCGCCACCATGCCCAGCTAATTTTTTGTATTTTTAGTGGAGACGGGGTTTCACCATGTTGACCAGGATGGTCTCGATCTCTCGTGATCCACCCGCCTCGGCCTCCCAAAGTGCTGGGATTACAGGCTTGAGCCACCGCTCATTACCTCATTTAATCCTCACGATGACCTTGATAGAGGTTCATAATTATCTTCATTTTACAGATCAATAGATTGAGGCTCAGAGAGCTGAACTGAATTATCCATCCAAGTTATTGTCCCAACTAGCAAAGGGTAGAGTCAGATCACGAACCTGTCTACATTCCAAATTCTTTTCAACACATCAACCTTGTCTCTAAAAGAGAGGTTTCCATAGTCCTCCTACCTGAGCAAGACTAGGCTGTCTGGAATATTTCTTCCCACCTTCCTGGCAGGGCACACCCAGCCCCGGTCCCGCCTTCCCAGTTGGGAGCTGGCTGGCTGACTGGAATTCGTGTCTGGGCAGCAATTCAGTCAACCACACTTATTTTGCTTTCAATGCACACGCCTGGGAACTGAGCCAAACTGCAGAGAGGCATCATCGGCCGGGGTGGGATTGGGGGTTGGATTTATCAACAGCTTCCTTCTGCTCCCCGGATGTGCCCGCACCGCACCAGCCCTTAGAAAATCCTCCTGCCCCAGGTCTGAGCAGCGGCAACTGGAGGCCGGGCTCGCTGCTTCCGTGCGCCACCTCGAGGGCATTTCAGTTACTGCATCAGCCCGCATGCTCGCAAAGGGCAAATCATTCTGACCCCCGGGTTAGGACAACTGAGAACAGGCATCCTTCTTCCCTGTCACCATGGTATCCTTCGTGGTCGCCTTCCTGGTACTCCAGCTGCAGTTCCTGGAGCATCGTGCTCACTCCCACTTCCACAGCTTTGCATGTGCCATTTCTTTCTGCTCGAAATGACTCTCCTGACTTGTCTCCCCAATTCCTCCTATTTGACTTTCCATTCTCAGCTCAAATACTTTCTCTTCCACAAAGCCTCCTTGGACTTTTCCAGTCATATTGTGAGAGGCTTCCTGTGTTCCCATGGTGTTCTATCCCTTTCCCCGACCATAAATATGCGTTTTGGTGTCTGCTTCTGCACTCATGGTTAGCCTTACGAAGGCAGAGATCATGAGTTTCCATCTTTGCCTGGCCTTAGAGTCCATGTTTCCTGCACAATTTACTTCTCTATTTCATCTTTCATATTCATATTCATTTTTATATTTCGTTTTTCATATTTCCCCTCCTTCTCATCTTACCCCTACTTTGGTCCAAGTCATAGTATAGTGACAACCAAAAATGCCTCCACACATTTCTAAATGACCCCTGCAAAGATACATTGGTCTAGAACCAGGACGACACTGGAGCCACCATTCCTAGGCCTCACCCACACCAGACATGGCTAATTGACTGCAGAACTTTTTCTACAGCCTCAGACTCCCTCTCCAATCAGCGCTGCAGATAGCTTCCACTCATCAGCTGGAGCTGGCTGCCACATTGGAGGTGTGCAGTACAGCCCAGGCCTGTTCAATCTTCATAAAACCTTAACCTAATTTTTGTGTCTCTACTTTTCTTTCCAATGGCAGTCTTTCTGATACATTAGGCTTAAAATAATTGTGCAGCTCCCACACCTACTCTCCCACAAGCCAACACCCTTATCATCCCACCAGGGTGCCCCAAAAGCCAATATGGCCCATGGACCCTGATCATTCTCCTTGATCTTCTGCTTGGCCACTTCCTGGCCTGGCCTGCTCTCTTTGGCCCTGTTTCTCCTGCTCTGATCTCTGACCACTCCTTGGGCTACACTTCACACCCACTCTTTTATCCACAATCTCTCCTTGGTTCTCTCACCCAGGTTCTTCAGGTGCCAGTTATACATTAATGACTGTGCAATTTTTCTTTTCCTTTCTTTTCTTTTGTTTGTTTTGAGATGGAGTCTTGTTCTGTTCCTCAGGCTGGAGTGCAGTGGTGTGATCTCAGCTCACTACAACCTCCACCTCCTGGGTTCAAGCGATTCTCTTGCCTCAGCCTCCTTAGTAGCTGAGATTACAGATGCCTGCCACCACGCCCGCTAATTGGTGTATTTTTACTAGAGACAGGGTTTCACCATGTTGGGCAGGCTGGTCTCGAACTCCCCACTTCAAGTGATCTACCTGCCTCAGCCTCCTAAAGTGCTAGGATTACAGGTGTGAGCCACTGCCCTGGGCCTTGACTCTGCATTTTATATTTCCAGCCCAGACTTTCTTCCTGAATTGTAGCCTCATCTAATCCAACTGCATATTCAACTTCTCCAACTGAATGACTAACACATGCCTCAAATCCAACACATCGAGACCTGAACTCTGGATTTTCCACCCCAAGCCTGATTTGCATAAGCACAGTCTTCCCCATGCCAATTCATGGCAACTCCATCCTTGCAGATGCTCAAGTGAAAACTCGTGGACTCATCCCTGACTCCTCTGTTCCTCTCATTCCCCACATCCAATCTGTCAGGAAGTCCTGTCAGCTTTCCCTTAAGATATATCCTGAAACCACCCCTTCTCCCCACCTCCACCATTACCTCCCTGATCTGAGCCACCATAATAGCTTGCCTGAATTACCACAACAGCCTCCTGGCTGGTGTCGCTGCTCCGTCATTCCTGGCACAGCAGCCAGAGCCATCCTGATACATTTGGTAGCATCACTCCTGCCCTCACTACCCTCCAGTAGCTCCAGCTTTACTCAATCCCCAACCTTCCCCATCGCTTTAACTGCTCCAGTCCTCAGCTACCTCATTGTTCCTAGACTTTGCCAGGCACACCCTCACCTCAGGGCACTTGGCTTGGAATGACCCCAAAATCTGCTTGGCTAAATCCCTCTTTCAAGCTTTTGTCTGTAGGTCACTTCCTCAATGAGGCCTTTTCTGACAACTCCATGAATATCCTTCCCCAATCCTCTTCCGTCTCCTCTTTTGTTTTCCATAGTACTTGTTACCTTCTAAGCTTTACCTATCTCCCCCTGCTTAGAATAAAGGCCCCCACAACTGCATGGATTTTTGTCTCTTTTGTGCATTTCTGTATCCCTGTCACCTAGAACAGTTCTTGGTACATAGTAGGCCCTCAATAAATATTTGATGACTAAATGACTTGATAATTTATGCTACTTTTGGGTAGACATCCTAGCCAATTCAGCCCAAATCCAGAGAGCCCACTCTAGGTATAGACTTTCTTTTTTTTTTTTTTTTGAGCTGGAGTACAGTGGCAGGATCTCGGCTCATGCAACCTCTGGCTCCCAGGCTCAAGTGATTCTCCTGCTTCAGCCTCCCGAGTAGCTGGGATTACAGGTGTGTGCCACCACACCCAGCTAATTTTAGTAGAGACAGGGTTTTGCCATGATGGCTGGGCTGGCCTGAAAGTTCTGACCTCAAGTGATCCGCCCACTTTGGCCTCCCAAAGAGCTAGGATTACAGGCATGAGACACTGTGCCCAGCCTAGGTGTCGGCTTCCAGGACTTCTGTCCTCACCGGGTTCAATTGGACCTTGAGACTGGTCCCCCCACAGTGATGGAGCAACAGCAACCAGTCAGCCGCCTCAGGGAAGGAGCCACACCTCTGATTTGGGGGTCCATTCAGTCTCACTGTATGGGTCTTAAAATATGGGGGCAACATAATGTAGGAGGTTTCTTCTTTCCCTCCTTTCCCCTGCCTCAGGCTTCCTCCATTAAAAACAGAGAGGGGGACACAGGCTGAATAGGATGTTGGGATGGAGAAGGCTGTGGCCTCCTTTACCTTTCCACTGATGGCCTTTTTGGAGAGGAGGTGGCAGAAGACTTGAAGTCCACAGAGTCTCTCCTGAAAGAAGAGAAAGCGGCAATGAGATTGCTTTGTAGGCTAGCATCAGTACTGACAGGAAGGTGGGGAGAAAGCATCCTGGGAAAAGGCCTGCTGGATTGAGGCTGAGGAAGCCCACCTGGACCACAGCTACGTGGGAGGGGGAGCTCCAGGCAGTGCTGGCTGGTCATGACCTTCACCTACCCTCCATCAAGTGAGGCAATACAAGGGAAGGAAACTGATATCTGCCAAGGGCCTAACACAGGCCATGTATGTTCCATGTGTGGTTGCTCACTATTAATAACTAACTCTCAGCAGGCCCCTGTCCTCCTCACTGTCAGGCAGGCCTTAGCTAACTGGAGTCCACAGAGACTGGATTCCTAGAGTTGTCTGTACTCATCTGGAACCGGAGAAACAGAGAGATCAGCGTCAGCCTCCCCGGCAGCTGCTTTAGGAGGAGTAGAGGAGAACTACATGGGCCTTGGGGATAGAAGAGCTGGGTTAAAATAACAATTGAAAAAGCAGGAGACAAAATTAGATGAGGACTGTGCCTAAAGTCACACAAGAAAACCAATGCCTAGGAGGAAAAACAGACTGGAAGAAAATGCACTCAAATGCTGACCACTATTACGGCTAGGGTGATGGGGTTAAAGGCGAATTTGTTTCCAATTTTTCCAAAATGCAGCAGCGACATTCTTTTTATGATATATAATGTAGTTCTTCCTTTCATTGGTTTTAGAAAATTTATCTGTTTGTAAATTGCAAACACTACTCCCCATGTCACTTACCCTGCCCTCCTTTTAATTCCATAGCACATGTATGGAATACTGTACTATATCTAGTATACTATATAATTTACTCCAGGCTGGAGTGCAGTGGTGCTCTCTAGGCAGCTCACTGCAACCTCCACCTCCCAGGTCCAAGAGATTCTTCTGCCTCAGCCTCCTGGGTAGCTGGGACTACAGGTGTATGCCACCATGCCCAGATAATTTTTTTTTTTTTTTTGAGATGGAGTCTTGCTCTGTCGTCAGGCTGCAGTGCTGTGGCATGATCTTAGCTCACTGCAACCTCCACCTCCCATGTTCAAGCAATTCTCCTATCTCAGCCTCTTGAGTAGCTGGGACTACATGTTCCTGCCACCATGCCCAGCTAATTTTTGTATTTTTAGTAGAGACGGGGTTTCACCATGTTGGCCAGGATGGTCTCAATCTCTTGACCCTGTGATCTGCTTGCCTTGGCCTCCCAAAGTGCTGGGATTACAGGCATGAGCCACCGTGCCTGGCATAATTTTTATATTTTTATTAGAGATGGGGTTTCACCATGTTGGCCAGGCTGGTCTCAAACTCCTAACCTCAGGTGATCTGCCTGCCTCAGCCTCCCAAAGTGTTGGGATTACAGGTGTGAGCCACTGTGCCTGGCCAATTTACTTATTTATATTTAATTATATTTATTGTCTGACACCCCATGTAAATTCCACAAGAGCAGCATTTGGCAGGTTTTGATCACTGAGGTGGACACTGTGTGTGCTGAGCCCACTTCCCCTTCCTTGGGTGCTCCCACTCTCATTGCCTCTGGATCCAAGAGCTGCCTCCTGCAAGCTCCCCAGGACCTCTGCCTGAGGGAGTTCTCCCCCTCAGCTAGTCTGGCTGGAAGTGCTGGTCATTACTAATGACCCCAGGAGCTGCCTTCAACCAAATATGTGGGAGAGGGAAAGAGAGGTCCTCATTCACATGCCCCTGCACTCCCACAACGGGCCCTGGGAGTTCTGTGGGAGTTCTCCCCAGTGCCCCTTGGGGATAGACAATTCAAGCAGAAACCAAGAGCTGGAATTCCTACAGTGGGAGAGAGGAGAGAAGACACGAGCCTCCACCCCAGAGAACCACCACTTTCTGACTCTTCCTTGCTGCTTTTCTTTTTAGAACAAATCAGAAATACTCTGCAGTTATTATGGCAAATGACTGTTCTGAAAACTGTTCAGGAACATGAAAAAATGCTTGGAATACAATAGCAAGATAGCCAGGAGTGGTGGCTCACGCCTGTAATCCCAGCGCTTTGGGAGACCGAGGTGGGCGGGTCACCTGAGGTCAGGAGTTCAAAACCAGCCTGGCCAACACGGCAAGACCCCATTTCTACTAAAAATACAAAAATTAGCCAGGCATGGTGGAGCACACCTATAATCCCAGCTACTTGAAGGCTGAGGCAAAAGAATCACTTGAACCCAGGAGATGGTGGTTGCAGTGAGGTGAGATTGTACCAACTGCACTCCAGCCTGGGTGACAGAGGGAGAGTCCATCCAAAAAAAAAAAAAGAAAAAATGAAAGAAGAAAGAAGGAAGGAGGGAAAAAAGAAAGAAAAGGAAAGAAAGAAAGAAGGGACGAGGGAAGGAAGGAAGGAAGGAAGGAAGGAAGGAAGGAAGGAAGGAAGGAAGGAAGGAAGGAAAGAAAGAAGGAAATAGAAGCCATGTTTTGAAGACCTGTATTGTATTAAAGGTACTTCATCAGTTCGTAAGGCATGAGTCCAAAACAGCTAGCAGTTGGGTTCTTGAACGATCCTTGAATCGTGCGCAGTTTCTTGGGCAAGTGGGTTAGTACCCTGTCATGAGATAGATGGAAGGAAATAATCTAGCACAATATTTTCTCTATCTGTGGTGATATGGAGACAGTGAATTCTACCAAATGGGTGATGTCTGTCAAGATGACATGGCACAGAATATCTGCATTCTAGCCAGGCCTTGGAGACGTGGCACATCAGTGGAAGAGAGGTCTGGAATTTAGTTTTACTTATATGTATTTAGTTTGCGACAGTCTCCATCTATTGTTCAGGCTGGAGTGCAGTGGCGCCATCTCAGCTCACTGCAACCTCCATCTCCTGAGTTCAAGAGATTTCCATGCCTCAGCCTTACAAGTAGTTGGGATTACAGCCATGTGCCATCATTCCCAGCTAATTTTTGTAATTTTAGTAGAGACAGAGTTTTGCCATGTTGGCCAGGCTGGTCTCAAACTCCTAACCTCAAGTGATCCGCCTGCTTTGGCCTCCCAAAGTGCTGGGATTACAGACATGAGCCACAGCACCCAGCCAGGGGTCTCAAATTCATGTGGAAGAAAAAGCAGATTATGGTGAATACATGGATAAAAATAATGGGAAGCAACAAGCCATAATCATAGCTGACAGTGGGACATTTCTGAGTGACCAGACAACAGAGAAGGCATAGAATGGGTGATTCTTCTTTAGCCCTTGTTTGCTACAGTTCATTTCCAAATCATGTACAATCTTTATAGTTCCTAAGGACAAAAATTCAAATACTGTTTTAGATTTTTAAAAACAATTTGTGCCCATAGTCCCAGGTACTCAGGAGGCTGAGGTGAGAGGATCACTTGAGCCCAGGAATTGCAGGTTGCAGTGAGATGTGATCACGCCACTGCGCTCCAGCCTGGGCAACAGAGTGAGACTCTGTCTCAAACAAAAAATTGTACACTCTGCCTAAAGGAATGGAAAAATTATGTAGTTAGACCAGGTCTGGGAGATGAGAGGAAGAAAAATAAAAGCTGCTTTACTTGTCTGATATGCACAAATGTTTCCCACTCTTATTCTAAATTTCACTAATGTGGTTACAGTGTTTGTATAATGAATCATCATTAAGAAAACTAAAAAGAAAGGAAATTCATTAACTGAGCTGAAATAGGACCCCTGACAACTGGCTTCTCCCAGCAGAGGGAGGAGATACTGCTCCATCTTCAGCTGAGCCCCAGCGACAGCTTCGTTTCAGAACTCCGTGGCTGTGACAAGTGAGTGGGCATAACAATTTAGTGTCCCAGGAAAATGTATAGTGCACTTCAAATTTTCTTAAGAAAATACAAATATAAATGTACACATGTATGTTTTTTTTCTTGAAACGGAGTCTCACTTCTCACCCAGGCTGGAATGCAGTAGTGGGGTCTCAGCTCACTGTGACCTCCACCTCCCAGGCTTAAGTGATCCTCTCACCTCAGCCTCCCAAGTAGCTAGAAACACAGGTACATGCCACCACACCTGGCTAATTTTTTTTTTTTAACTTTTTAGTAGAGATGGGGTTTCTCTGTGTTGCCCAGGCTAGTCTGTAACTCCTGAGCTCAAGTGATCTGCCTGTCTCCACCTCCCAAAGTATTGGGATTACAGGTATGAGCCACCATGCCCGGCCCATATGTATGTTCTTTTGTTTTAAAAGACAGGGTCTGTCTCTGTTGTCCAGGCTGGAGTGCAGTGGGGCAATCTTGGCTCACTACAACCTCAGCCTCCCAGGTTCAAGTGATTCTCCTACCTCAGCGTCCAGAATAGCTGGGATTACAGGTACCCGCTAACATACCCACTACCATGCCCAGCTGATTTTTGTATTTTTAATAGAGACAGGGTTTCACCATGTTGGCCAGGCTGGTCTTGAACTCATGACCTCAGCTGCCTCAGCCTCCCAAAGTGCTGGGATTAAAGGTGTGAGCTACTGTGCCCAACCTGGCCTGTATGTTCTTAGAAGGCTACAAAGATATATATCAAAATGTTGACAATGGTTATTTCTGTTATTTTCTTCTTGTGTTTTATTTTCTAAACTTTTTACACTAAACACACCTTGCTACTGAAATGAATATATTTATGTACATGAAAAGGTTACAATATAGTATACAGAATGTAATTCCATTTTATTAAAATAAATAAGTATTTTAGGACAGGTCTGGTGGCTCATGTCTGTAATTTTCACACTTTGGGAGGCCAAGGCAGGTAGATCATGAGGTCAGAAGTTCGAGACCAGCCTGGCCAATATGGTGAAACTCTGTCTTTACTGAAAATACAGGAATTAGCCGAGCATAGTCCCAACTACTTGGGAGGCTGAGGCAGAAGAATCACTTGAACCTGGGAGGCAGATGTTGCAGTGAGCTAAGATCATGCCACTGCACTCCAGCCTGGGCAACAGAGCAAGACTCAAACAAAAACAAAACAAAACAAAAAAACAAATAAGTATTTTATAGGTAGTAATGCATAGGAATAGTCTAGCAGGATGTGTATATATGTATATATATATATATCTAAATTTTATATGTATACATATATATACACAATTATATGAGTGCTTGTTTCTAGATAATAAATGATTTTTTAATTTTCTTATTTGTATTTTTAAAACTTTATACAATGAGCAAGTAATTATCTGTATTATAAAAAATACAAAATAGCTAAACTAAAATGACAAATAAAATTAAAGACTATTACAAATAAAACATTTTATTTTTAAGAAGAAAGAACTGAGAAAATGATGTCTGGTTTTCAAGCCATAATACTGAGTCTTGGAGACGAAGGTCATAAGTGACCAAGTTAACCCAGAACTTTGCTTTCTGCTTTTTCACTGTTACCTCTCCCACACCTGTTGTCCCCATACAGGCCTTTCAAAGAAATCTCTTTACTGTTTCTCTTTTTCTCTTCCCTCCCTCCCTCCCTTCCTTCCTTCCTTCCTTCTTCTCTCTCTCTTTCTCTCTTTCTTTCCTGAGTCTCGCTCTGTTGCCCAGGCTCAAATGCAGTGGTGGAATCTCAGCTCACTGCAACTTCTGCCCCCGGGTTCAAGTGATTCTCCCACCTCAACCTCCCAAGTGGCTGGGACTACAGGCACATGCCACCATGCCTGGCTAATTTTTGCATTTTTAGTAGACACGGGATTTCACCATGTTGGTCAGGCTGGTCTTGAACTCCTGACCTCAGGTGATCTGCCCACCTCAGCTTCCCAAAGAGCTGGGATAACAGGCATGAGCCACTGTGCCCAGTCACTTTACTGTTCATTTAGTGAGACTTGGGGATGGAGCAAACAAAAACCACATATGTTCAGGCTGCCACCATTACCTGGAGGACTACACTCCCCATGCGACAGATTAGTCCTGAATCCCATTTGTTCCTGCCTTGGTAGTTCAGCTTTTAGTCCTTCAACTTCATCTCACAAGAGCTCTCCTGCTCTTGGTCCTTTATTTGCCAAGGTTGTCATAACCACACAGGTGCTCTAGAGATGGCCAGACCAGCCAGGGCATGATCGGGAGGTAATCCACAGGGACTGCGCTGATACAAATGGGCTAGCAATATTCAGTAAATGTTCACTTCATGCTAGGCACCGTGGAGATGGTCAGGGGCTCCCCCCAGCCAAACTTCTAACCCTTTTGGGTAAAGAAAACACACTCATGTGAAAAGTTAGATGCCAATTAGGGTTTTTCCAAGTAGGAGACACTTGTAAAATGAGCAGTGGAAAGGAATGGAACATAGAAAATGTGACAAAACCGTTTCACAGGCATTATGTTTTAAAAAGCAGACTATTAAAATTGTGGATAACTATAGAAAACAAGTCAAAGAGAGAACAGAAAAAATGCCATACACCAACACATGATCGTCTTTGGGTGATGGGGATGTGGGTGATTTTTTTTTTCCTACTTTTCTACATTTTCTTTTTTTTTTTTTTTTAATTATTCTTATTTTTTTTGAGATAGAGTTTCACTCTGTCGCCCAGGCTGGAGTGCAATGGCGTAGTCTCGGCTCACTGCAACCTCCATCTCCCAAGTTCAAGTGATTCTCCTGCCTCAGCCTCCTGAGTAGCTGGGACTACAGGAGTGCACCACCGCACCCGGCTAATTTTTGCATTTTTAGTAGAGACTGGGTTCCACCATATTGGCCACGCTGTTCTCAAACTGCTGAACTTATGATTCGCCTGCCTCGGCCTCCCAAAGTGCTGGGATTACAGGCGTGAGCCACCTCACCCGGCCATCCATTATTTTCTACAAGAGATTTTTATCAGTCTTGTTTCATTTTTAAAAGCACTATTTTTTTTTAATTTCAAAAGCAGTACAGGATCATTGTGAATAAAACCCAACAATTCAGATTTAAAATTTTTATTGTATAATATAGAAAATAAGAGTTCCATTTAATTAATAATATATGTATTGGTGTTTTGTTTGTTTTTGAGACAGGCTCTTGCTCTGTTGTTGAGATTGGAGTGCAGTGGTGCAATCTCAGCTCACTGCAACCTCTGCCTCCCAGACACAAGCGATTCTCCCACCTCAGCCTCCAGAGTAGCTGGGACTACAGGTGTGTGCCACCAGGCCTGGCTAATTTTTGTATTTTTTGCAGAGGCGGGGTTTTGCTATGTTGCCCAGGCTTGTCTCAAACTCTTAGGCTCGAGTGATCCTCCCACCTCGGCCTCCCAAAGTGCTGGGATTACACGTGTGAGCCAGTGCACCAGATGGAGTGATTCTTAGAAGTGGCTATTGCCCTTGCTAGCAACTTGGAAACTTTGTCTTTAGGAGTGTTAGAAGATTTGGGATGTGAGGCTTCCACCCATTGTGGTCTTGTTTCCCTGTACCTAGGCTGTTGCTCTTTCCTGTCACTGCACCCTTCTTCTAGGCAAAGCCAGCGCCACTTATGGCCTAGTTGGGTCTTGTGAGTCTAATGTCTGGATGAGCCAAAGAAGGACTCCCAGAGGGGGCACTGCAGGAGATAATAACAATATCTACCCCCTGCTGGATGTGAGGCTTAAATGAGATAATATACACAGAGCTGCTGGCAGAGGATGTGACAAGTGTCAGCTTCCTGCTCTCCATCCCAGAAAAGAATACCTGGTTTTCGGCTCTTCTCGTTTTTTCCTTGGTGGAGAAAGGCCTGCTTCTGGCTTCCAGACTGAACAGTCAAGCCTTTTTTCCTTCTTCTTTGCTTTTTCTCTTTCCTCTCCTTTTTCTCCTTTTGGGGGTCCAGGGGAGTCTGAAAAAAAAAAGGGTAGCACTGTCCCTCAACTAAGCTTTGTCTCAGCAGAACCCAGCATGACTTTAGTGGGGAGGGAGCAAAGGGCAGAGATAAGGACAGCTGCACACCCACTCCCAGCACACACACAAACACATTTACACACAAACGCACATATAACAGGAACGTGTGTACAAATACACACTCACTTGGGGACATAAATACGTTGGCAAACACACCTCAGCACATATTCAGACAAATGTGTGTATGTAGACATGTATGAGACCACAAACACATAATAGGCACATGTACACAAAAACTCACAAGTTGGCCAGGTGTGATGGCTCACACCTGTAATCCCAGCACTTTGGGAGGCCAAGGTGGGCGGATCACCTGAGGTCAGGAGTTCAAGACCAGGCTGGCCAACATGGTGAAATCCCATCTCTACTAAAAATACAAAACTTAGCCAGGTGTGGTGGCGGGTGCCTGTAATCCCAGCTACTCAGGAGGCTGAGGCGGGGGAATCACTTGAACCCAGGAGGCGGAGGTTGTAGGGGAGCCAAGATCACACCATTGCACTCCAGCCTGGGCAACAAGAACAAGACTCTGTCTCAAAAGCAAACAAACAAAACAAAACAAAATTCACAAGTCTACAAATCTTGCCATGTGTAAGCAAACTCTGGCGCTCCCCCACTAGCTACCTCGTGGATCCAGAAGCCATCTGTCACTGATTAAGTCACTCAACAGACATACACTGAGTGCTGGCACTGAGCCAGGCCCAGTCCTGTCCCAAGTGCTAGGAGAAAAAAAGGGCTCAAGTCAACCTTCTCTCTCACCTAGCAGCCGCTTCCAGTTTTTGATGAGGACTTTGGCCAGGGACACCACCTCCTTGTCTGAGCAGTGCTTGCGGACCCCATTAACAGCCACTCCAATCCTGGTTGTCTGCAAAGTGAGAGGGTTAAGACCTGGTCTGGGGATGGATACACAGGAATGGCTGCCCTCATCGGCTGGTCCTGCCCCAGCCCTACCATCACCTCCCCTTCCAACCTGGAACCCCAACGTCCTAGCCCTGACTCCTGGCTGACGTCAGAACCCCAATACTGTAACTGAGGCCCTGTTCTGCATGAGGCCAAGTAAGCCTGACATGGAGGACACCTGTGGCTTTGGCAAAAAGCTGCCGCTAGGGTTAGGGGCGGCACTTGGCTGACTGTCAGGATCCCTCCCATTCCCAACCCTCTTCCTGTATCTTTTTTTTTGAGATGGAGTCTCACTGTGTTGCCTGGCTGGTGTGCAGCAGTGCAATCTCGGCTCACTGAAACTTCCACTTCCTAGGTTCAAGTGATTCTCGTGCCTCAGCCTTCCAAGTAGCTGGGATTACAGGTGTGCGTCACCATGCATGCCCAGCTAATTTTCGTATTTTTACTAAAAACAGGTTTTCACAATGTTGGTCAGGCTGGTCTTGAACTCCTGACCTCAGGTGATCTGCCTGCCTCGGCCTCCCAAAATGCTGGAATTACAGGCATGAGCCACTGCACCCAACTCCCTCTAGTGTCTTTGAGCTCCAGTTTCAACTTAGACAGCAGCCCCGGCTATGAGACCTCGCATCTGTCTGTGCTTATTTTTCAGGGCCAGGAGCTTTTGGTAAATTTGGGGACTTTAAGGGCCAAACAGGGATTTTTAAATGGAGAACTTTTCCCTCTCCCTGGATTATCGGCCTCTTGGATCCCACAGGCCCAGGGCCTTGGGAATTGGAGTATTCAAGAGAAGCAAACCAGTCTTGCTGCAAGGCCCAGAGGTCCCCCACACCTAGAAGGTACCCTCTCTGCCCCTGAAATGCCCCGTGTCTCCCTCAGTCCCTGCCTGGGAGGTCTGCACCTCAAGATCCCCTCCCCCCAGCCTCCCCTCAGAAATTCCTCCCAGACCCCACCTTCCCCCACCAGAGATCTTTCCCTCCCCAATGACCTCTCCCCCCAGGCACTGCCCTAAGGCTTCCTGCCCCCCCACCTGTAGTAGCTGGATGGACATCTGGCAGCTGTGCAGCTTCTTCAGAAGGTCCAGGGCCCCTTCCTGTGGGAGGCCACAAGGTGAGGACTGCGGCCCGGGTCCTGCCCAGGCTTCTCTGTTTATTGTGTGGTCTTGGTGCAGGGAGCAGGAGGATATAGACAGACACGCGGTGGAGGAACAGGCAAGAGGCAGAAGGAGGGAGAGAGACATCCTGTCCTAGACTGTGCCCTAACTTCATCCTCCGCCACCTGCTGGGTTCAAACCCTCTGAGCCAGGCTCCTGACCGCCAGCCTTTGGTTCTGCTGTGCCTCCCCCAAGGAATGCCCTCCCCCTCCCCCATCTCTCCTCCAAAATGAATTCCTTCCTGGTTTATTGTGCCTGTAGCATCCTTCCCTCAGCTCCCCACAGTGAGGTTTGCAGGGTGAGGACTGGGGGCTTTTTAAACAAAACAAAACAGCTTGGCCAGCATGGTGGCTCATGCCTGTAATCCCAGCACTTTGGGAGGCTGAGGTGTGTAGATCACTTGAGGCCACGAGTTTGAGACCAGCCTGGCCAATATGGTGAGGCCCCGGCTCTACTAAAATACAGAAATTAGCCAGGCGTGGTGGCGTGCGGCTGTAATCCTAGTTATTCAGGAGACTGAGGCAGAAAAACCACTTGAGCCCGGGAGATGGAAGTTACAGTGAGCCAAGAATGCACCACTGCACTCCAGCTTGGATGACAGAACGAGACTCCAAGTTGAAAAAAAAAAAACAGCTTTATTGAGGTGTAATTGACATACAATAACTGCACATTTTGCAGTGTATAATTTGATGAGTTTCAACATACATGTACACCCATGGAACCCTCATCACAATCAAGATAAGAGCACAGCCACCAGCCCCAAAAGCTTCCTTCTGTCCCTTTCTAATCCATCCCTCCTTATCCCAATCACAAACAACCACAATTCTGCCTTCTGTTACTATAGTTGACCTTGTATGTTTAAGGATTTTATATAAAGAGTATGTAGAGCAAAAACCCTTTTTCATCTGGCTTATTTCAGCATAATGATTTTTGAGACTCATCCATGTTGTCTAATGGATCCGTAGTTCCTTTTTATTGCTTTGTGGGTTGTTCTCTTTTTTTGAGACAAGGTCTCACTCTGTTGTCCAGGCTGGAGCACACTGGCAAAATCGTAGCTCTGCAGCTTTGACTTTCCAGGTTCAGGTGATCCTCCCACCTCAGCCTCCGGAATAGCTGGGACCACAGGTATGCATCACCGCACCTGGCTAATTTTTTGTATTATTTTGTAGAGATGTTTTGCCATGTTGCCCAGGCTGGTCTCAAACTTCTGACCTCAAGTGATCCTCCTGCCTCAGCCTCCCAAAGTGCTGGGATTACAGGCGTGAGCCACTGCACCCAGTCTATCACAATGTTTTAAATTCATTCACCGGTTGATGGGACTTACGGATAGGTTCCCGTTTGGGGCTACTACAAGTAAAGCTTCTAGGTACATTCATCTCAAGCCCTTGTGTGAACAGATACTTTACCTGCTCCCGGGTGAAGAGAACTGTTTTAATCTCTGAGATCTTAGGGCTCAGAAGAGTCTAGCACTCCCTTAGTGGATGAACTTGTGAAGGAGTAAAGCAGAAAGAAGGTGGAGGGAGAAAAAGGAACCTTAGATTTGAAAACTGGTGAGCTGCCAGGCCCTGGACACCCTCTGACCCATTTCAGCCTTCTCCTTTCCCCCAACCTCTTCCTAGAAGCCATCCCTGCCTGCTGTCCTGAGATCAGTTCCCTAGGTAGCACCAACTGACTGTGTCCTGTATGTTCCTGTCCTTGGCCCACACTTCATGGTTCCAGCTGCCAATCCCCACTCTGCTAGGACCTGGACCGTGTCCCAGGAGCTGCCCTCTGTCAGTCCATAGCCTCCCTGAGAACTGGGGTTCACAGTATGTTATCAGAGGCATGACCTGCAGATGTGTGCACATGTGAACTTGGGGGTGAACAACTCCAAGTATAACATTAGTTAAAGGCTTACTATATACTGGGCACTCTTCTAAGTATTTTACCTGTATTATCTCATTTAACTCTCACAACGACCCAATCAGGTAGGACCTGTGTATTATTCCCATATATATTTTTTTTTTGAGATGGAGTCTATCTCTGCCACCCAGGCTAGAGTGGTGTGATCTCGGCTCACTGCAACCCCCGCTTCCTGGGTTCAAGTGAGTCTCCTGCCTCAGTCTCCTGAGTAGCTGGGATTACAGGCACCCACTACCACCCCTGGCTACTTTTTGTATTTGTAGTAGAGATGGGGTTTTGCCACATTGGTCAGGCTGGTCTTGAACTCCTGACCTTGTGATCCACCCACCTCAGCCTGCCAAAGTGCTGGAATCACAGGCATGAGCCACCATGCATGGCCCATTAGTCCCATTTTTACAGAATTATTATCCCATGTTCACAAAAGAGTGATTCAAGAAACAAAGAGGTTAAGTAATTTTTTCAGGGTCACATGCATTATAAGGAGCCAAGCTGGGATTCAAACTCAGGGCCTTTGGGCTCTAACCACTATACAAATTGTGTTAGCGTGGGCATCGATCTGTCTAGACATACACAATCATGGAATATCAACATGGGCAAGTTCAGTGGTGTGCTGGCCAACATTTAACAACCAGTTCTCAAGGAAAAAAAAAACTGACTTGTAGTGCTTGCCAGTTTGTGTGGTGTAAACACTCATCCCATGGCCAATTTCAAACTACCGACAGGCTGTCACTGAACTGAAGGAAGTTTTGGGAGGAGATGTGCAGTATTTATATATATAGTATTTCCACCGTACAGAAAACAATAGAAGTAAATTACCTCTTACCACACATGACAGTACAATGTAGTCAAATAATTAGGAAGTGATTGTTTTGGAGGATTCATTACCTTTGCTTTTAATTTAACTTATTTAATTGTAAGCAGATAATGTAATCTTTTTTAAAAAATTGCGGTGTGGCCGGGCACGGTGGCTCAAGCCTGTAATCCCAGCACTTTGGGAGGCTGAGGCGGGTGGATCACGAGGTCAAGAGATCGAGACCATCCTGGTCAAAATGGTGAAACCCCGTCTCTACTAAAGATACAAAAAATTAGCTGGGCATGGTGGCGCGTGCCTGTAATCCCAGCCACTCGGGAGGGTGAGGCAGGAGAATTGCCTGAACCCAGGAGGCGGAGGTTGTGGTGAGCCAAGATCGCGCCATTGCACTCCAGCCTGGGTAACAAGAGCGAAACTCCATCTCAAAAAAAAAAAAAAGAATTGCGGTGTTTAACCACCAGGTTGCAAAATTCCTGAAAACGCAGCCATCAGTGTGAAGCCAGTTCCAGCTCTCCACTGGGTGTGTGCCTCGTGTGTTGCAGCTGTATAACTGGGTCAAACTGGAGAAAAATAGCCATGAGCCTTGATGGTAGCTGGGTTCACAAAGCCTTGTGCAAATGTTGCTGGGTGTCTCTCTCTGAATACACATATGGGTTGTGTAGCCAGCAGTATCTCTGGTCTAGGTGTGGAACTGTAAATATGCAGCTCCAGGCACAGCTGTGTCTATTTGTCTTTGTGGGCTGATGCCTGTGTTATAACATCTGAATGTATAAATGCGGCTGCTTGCTAAGTCTGTAGCATTGCATGTCTGGGTGTAGCTGCGCTGTGTGCACACGTGTGTGGCTGTCTTTGGGTATCATTCTGTAACTAGAATGGTCAGGGTGGGTCATATGGGTCACTAATCTTGTCATGTTGGTGTCGATAGCCGTGTCTCATATGCAGTTAGGTTCAGTTGCTTGTTTAACTTTGTGTGGTGGCTGCATGTGATACCTATGTGTATGTGTAGCTGTGACCATAGGCACTTGGTTGTGTGTTTGAAGCTGCTTCTGTTAGTGCATGCTCAGAGGATGTGACAAAGCCCTAAGTGGCCAAGACTTCAGCCATTGGCAGTAAACCCCAGGCCTGAGCTGCAACGTGGAGGATCCGTCTTATTACAGGAAGTAGGTCCTCCTCTGCCTAACCACCGCTGGGTGGGTCCACTTTCACTCCCACAGCAGGCCCCACCTTTCTCGGCCGGATGCCCAGAGTTCTGTGCCCACCCAGATACTGCCAAGAGCCCAGGCGCAGACGTGGCTGTAAACTGGCTCTGTGCTGCAGGAACCCTGCGGCCAGACTTGCATCTTTTCTGGGGACAGCTCTGGGCACTTCCACAGGAATCCATCTCCAGGAGACACCACTTCCTCTTCCCGTTTCACAGAAGAGGAAACTCGGGGCCCAGAGAGGGAAAGTCTAGGGCCATAGAAGGAGTGAGGGGGTGGCCAGGGCAGGTCCCTTCCTCTTCAGCCAGAGCTCCACCACAGCAGGCTGCCTCTCCCGGGGCCTCTAAGCGTTCCCACCCTAACCCTCTTACCCAGAGGCCCAGAATTTCTTTCCTGACCCAAGCTTGGGGGTCAGTAAGGAGCTGGGCTGGGAGAACCTGTCTACTTGAACTGGAATTTGGCTCAGATCCCTGACTGGGCTCTGCCAACCCCAGCTGAGAAAATGCCCCCCATGACTTGAGGCTCAGTTGTACTGAGGATTTTGGAGGAGTCCTGAACGGGGAGCACGTGGAGGCTGGGAGTGTCAGATGACAAGCTCTAGCACTCTGTAGGTTTGTGCTATACCTTTACGTGTTGGACCTGGCTGTGCAGAAGCGGGTCTTGTTCACCAGCTCTTACCAAGCACCAGTCTGAGTCCTACTAAGGGCTTTACATCTCTGTCTCATCTCTCCAATCTTCACTGCTTCCAGCAGAGACAAGAATCCAGTGACACCCCTTCTCCAGAGGCAGATAATCTAATCTTTCTTACAGATAAAGAAACTAAGGCTCTGGCCTTTATTTATTTATTTTTATTATTATTTTTGAGATGGAGTCTCACTCTGTCACCAGACTGGAGTGCAGTGGTGTGATCTCGGCTCACTGCAACCTCTGCCTCTGGGGTTCAAGCAATTCTCCTGCCTCAGCCTTCCAAGTAGCTGGGACTAAAGGCATGCACCACCATGCCCAGCTAGTTTTTTGTAGTTTAGTAGAGACGGGGTTTCACCATGTTGGCCAAGATGGTCTCGATCTCCTGACCTTGTGATTCACTCCCCTCAGCCTCCTGAAGTGCTGAGATTACAAGCAGGAAGCACCACGCCCAGCCAGCTCTGGCCTTTATATGGACAACCACTCATGACTGCCTAGGGTCCACTCTAGGCTCCCTGCCACTCCATGGTTCCAGCGACCCTTCCCTGGGCCTTGGCTACTCTTGCTGGCTCTAAAACTTCCCGCAGGGTTTCTTCCTTTCCCAGGCTCCTAGGTTTTCTGGAAATGCAGGTCGCTGCAGCACAGGGCTAGGGATGGTAGGAGGAAGAGCACCCCGGGACAGGCTGGGAGGTGGGATGGGTATGCTACCAGGGTCCCTTTCTTTTCTCCCAGGGTGAGCCCTGGCCCTCCAGAACCCAAGGCCAAATTTGCACTGGCCTAGGCGAGCAGTCCGCCGCCAGCCTGAGGCAAAGATCACAGGGAAGATCAAATATTAACTTCCAGTTGGGTCTGTGCTCTGGCCGGGACCCTCCCGTATGGCTGTCAGCCCTGCTCCCCACCTCCCACCGAGCCGCTCCTCCCTCCGCCCTGGCCCTCTCTGCACAGGCCTCCAGCCCGGCCCCCTTCGCCCGCCCTGCGGGCCCCCGCACCTGTTCGGCCCCCACCAGCCCGTCCGGGCGACACCCAAGGCCAAGGAAAGGGAAAGTTGCCAAAAGAACCGCTCCTGACGCCCCAGGCTGTGGGGTCGCAGGATCCAAGGCCCTTTGCTTCTCTCCTGCAGATCCACTCCAGAGTGCAGGGATGCAGCTTAGCAACCCTCCTCAGCCCGTTTCTCTGCCCCTTCTAGGGCCACCAGGATTTACTCCCTGCCCCGCCCCCTCCATCGCCACCGCTCCCGGGGCTGTGCACACGCCAAGTCCCGGGACTCCCGAAGTCCTTTCCCACGTCCAGCTCTCTTCGCCCGCTTTCCTGGGCCCTGCACTAGCTGCCCAGGGTGAACCTTACACGTCCAAAGGGACGTGCACAAGCCGCGCCTCCAGGACCGGCATGATCCCCCGGCGCCCTGGGCCATACACATGCCCACCTCGAGGTGCCCAGCAAGGGTCCCCAAAGGGCCTGGGGCCCTGCACCAGCCGCGCCTACCTCGGGTCCCCGAGTCCTATTTGCGCCCTCGGGGTGCCCCGCCAGCACGCCCCCACCCCGGACTCCCGGGCTCGCCGGCGCCTCCCACGGCGGGGGCCGTGGCCCAAACTCTGCAGCCTCACCGTTTTCTTCCTGGCCACCATCTTCTCCAGCTTTTTGGCGATCCTCAGCAGCTCCTCTTCCTGGCCCATGTTGGCCCGCGACGCCTGGCGGGGCGAGGGGTGCGGGGGCAGCAGTCGAACCTCGGGGGCAGGAGGTGCGAAGGCGGAGGGCGCGCAACCCGCGCGGGCCCCAAACACACACGCCCGGCGGGGGCGGGGCTCTCCCCCACCCCCCGCCCGCCTCCCAACTGTGCGGGGGAGGGGTGGCGGGCACTAAATATAGACTTCAAGGACTCGCCCGGGCACTGATTGCCTGCGCCGGCCGGTCGGGCCTCAGGGGAGGGACGAGGCTGCGAGAAGGGGCCCTCCTCCTCTGTCCCTTCCAGGGGAGCCGGGGGGCCGAAGGGAGATTTGGGGAGGAGGTCTCTCTGGAGAGCTGGCTGTGTCCCCAGCCACAGGCAGGCGGCGGTTGTGGCACAGAGGGCGCCCGGGGGTGTCCCGGGGGATCCGGGAAACGTTCTGGGCTCCCGGGTCTCCGCACCGTTGCAGCTCAAAACGGGAAGACCCAGTTCCGCGCCTATGCCCAAGTGGAGGCAACTCTGTGCGCTGGAATCCTTTTGTGTGTGTGTGTATATCACTAAATCCAGCTCTGCTTTAACCTGCACTCACTCTATCGCGCACAGCCTGTGCATGCCACGTGTATCCAGGCTCCTGTTTGCCTCTGTATACCTAAAAGTGAGTTTGCTGGCTGTTTTGTTAGTAAGGCTTTGCATTTCTAAACAAGCTCCTATGCACTGGGGGTGCTGGTCTCAGAACTACACTCTGAGTAGTGACAGCTTGTGGGGAGATCTTTTTATTTTTCTGAGACAGGATCTCCCTCTGTGCCTAGGGCTGGAGTGTAGTGGAGCAATAACGCTCACTGCCTCAACTTCCCCAGCTCAAGCAATCCTTTCTGCCTCAGCCTCCTGAGTAGCTAGGACTACAAGCGTGAACCATCCATCATGCCCAGCTAATTTTTAAATTTTTTTAGTAAAGACTCAATCTATGTTGTCCAGGCTGGTCTGAAACTCCTGGTCTCAAGCGATCCTCCTGCTTTGGCCTCCCAAATTGCTGTGATTACAGCAAGATTCATTCTTAAGTGCACCAAATTTTGAGAAATACTGATCCAGGTGCAAGGCTGCCAGGTCAGGCCAGTGCCCCCTCAGTGGGTTCACAAGGGTCATCTTGGTGGAGGGGTGGAAATACGATTGTGCCTACCTTCCCCAGCCATGCAAAGGTCTGCCTTCCCGTGGAATCGTCTCCAAGTGTCTCCTACAGTCCGGGTTCTCTTGCTAAACAAATGAGTTTAATGGACAGAAATGATCTTCCTGAGACAGGGGTGGGGCTCAGGAATCTGGAGGGAGGGCATGAAAAGTGGGCCACAGTGTATGCGGGTTGGGGAGCTGGGATTGGGGTGTCGAGTGAAATCTCCCAATTTTCCTGAGAGAACCCGATTCCAGCTTGGGTTGTAGAGGCAGCTTGGTGTGGACACCTATCATCCAATTGCTGTGTGACTGGGATCTAGGTAGGATGGCGTGGGTTTTTCATCCATTTAACAAATACGTATTGAGTGTCCAAGCAATGAACAAGACAGACCCCGTCCCAGCAAGCTGTCTATGGGCAAGAGAAAGCTTACAAAAACAGACATGGTCAATTAACGTATTTATCACAGCTGGGGTGAGGGGCAGGAAGCAGTGGAGGACAACTTAAGGACACATTTGAGGGACCTGCACTATTTAGAGTGTCATCTTCTCTGAAGAAATGAAGTTTAAACTTTGGCTGAAGCGCATAGCGGAAGTTGAGGGGAGGAGGAAGAGTGCTCATGAAAGAAAGGAAGAGGCATTCAACACGTATTTGTAAAGCACCTAATATGTGCCAGGCAGTTCTTGTTCAGGACATCCAGAGAGGAACAAAATAGTCCTCTCTTCTTGGAGTTCCAAATGTGCAAAGCTTAGGGATGGGAGGGTGCCTGGCCTGCCTGACAATGTTGGAGGAGCTGAAAAATTGGCATGGCTGCCGTAGAGGTAAGGAGTGTGTGGGTGGCACCTGAGCTTGCAGCGCTGCCGTTCACATTTGGGAGGTTAGACTCTAATGGTTTGGGATGCTGGGAGGCCTTTTGGCCAACTCCTGGCCAAGTCCTTCTGGGTTGAAGAGACTCATCCTCAGCAGCCTGAGGGTACTTAGGATTGCCTTATAAAAAGGTGGCTGGCTCACGCCTGTAATCCCAGCACTTTGGGAGGCCGAGGTGGGTGGATCACGAGGTCAAGAGATCGAGATCATCCTGGTCAACATGGTGAAACCCCGTCTCTACTAAAAATACAAAAAATTAGCTGGGCATGGTGGCACGTGCCTGTAATCCCAGCTACTCAGGAGGTTGAGGCAGGAGAATTGCCTGAACCCAGGAGGCAGAGGTTGCGGTGAGCCGAGATTGCGCCATTGCACTCCAGCCTGGGTAACAAGAGCGAAACTCCATCTTAAAAAAAAAAAAAAAAGGTGGCCAGGAGTGGTGGCTCATGCCTGTAATCCTAGCACTCTGGGAGGCCAAGGCAGGAGGATTGGTTGAGGCCAGGAGCTCAAGACTAGCCTGGGCAATAGAGAGAGAGACTTCGCCTCTATGAAACACTAAAAAAAGCCAGGCACGGTGGCGTGCACCTATAGTCCCAGCTACTTGGAAGGCTGAGGCAGAAGTACTGCTTGAGCCCAGGAGTTCAAGGTTACAGTGAGCTCTGCTTGTGTCACGGTACTCCAGTATAGGAAACAGAGCCATCAAAAAAAAAAAAAAAAAAAAAAAAGGATTTTTCTCAAACTTCCACCCAGTCCTCACCCTGAACTGTGGGACATCAAAAGAAGCTAAGATTCCTATAACATCAGGGTATGAAGGACCCTAAGGAAACATCGAGTCCAACTTCCTTATTGTATAGGTGGGAAGACTAAGGCCCAAAGAGGGTGATGATCCTCTCAGGGTTGGACCCTGTTCATACGCATCATATCCCCTCTGCCTACCTGTCTACCCTGTAGGTCACTAGAAGGTAATTCCTGGACACACCTTGGACAGCTCCCCACATTTCTCTGAACGGGAGCTTTGGGATGGTAGGAAATTGATGCCCTCAGAAAGGACACCACCAACCAGCAAGAAACCAAAGTTGGTGGAAAACACGCACTTTCTTCATTCTCAATGGGACAACCTGAAGGCATGTTCTAGTCAATACCATCTCTCACAGGTCCCCAACAAGAGTCAGAGACAGAGTCTTGCTCTGTTGCTCAGCCTGGAGTGCAGTGGCGCCATCATGGCTCACTGCAGCATTGAACTCCTGGGCTCAAACAATTCTCCCATCCAAGTAGCTGGACTACAGGTTCTCACTGCCACGCCCACCTCTTTATTGCTTTTTGACTTTGTTTCACTTCTCTATTCCCTCATTATGCTTCCTGGGATCATTTCACAGATAAGCTACTTGCTCCCAAATCCTTGTCTCAGGGGCAATTAACAGAGACAGTGTGGCAAAGGACCATGGGAGAACCAGAATTTCAGGTCTCCAGTCTCCTATTCCAGTGCTCTTTCCAGGGTTTCTCCACCTTGGCACTATTAACATTTTGGACTGAATAATAATGCATTGCTATGGAGGGCTGTGTACTGTGGGACATTTAATAGCATCCCTGACCTTTGTCCACTACATGCCACTAGTACCCTCCAGTTAGGAGCAGTCAAAATCATTTTCTGCTTTACCAAAAGTTTCCCGGGGGCAAAACACTGCAGTCGCAAACCACTACTCCACATCAGGCCATCTCCCTTGCCAGGACCAGAAAAAGAATTTCAAGCCCCAAGATTCTGTTCCCCTCCCTGTTGTTCTTCAGATTGAGGGAATGTGTTAACTTCTCTTCCTGGGTCCACAAGGGGTGTGGTTTCAAAGGCAAGAACTTCCCAGCGACATGCCTGACCTGCCTTCTTTCACATCCCCACCCGGGAGCTTAGAGGTCTTTGTCTAACTTTCACATATGTGAGAAGATAGACTGTCCAGGTGGGCTTCTTTTGTTTAGAAAGGCCTGGAAAAGCTATGGGAAGACTGTGGGCCAAACAACCAATCAGATGTCAGAGTTGAAGATCAGTCATTCCAGCGGAAGTCTGAAGGAACTCCTCTCACAGGACAAGAACTTGAATGGGGCAGGAGTAACTCCCAGATTAAAAGACCCCTTGCCCCTTACCTGTGCAGATTTCCCTCTCTGGGATCCCCTCCCACGACAGTGTGGGAGCTGGCTTTCTCCCTCTCCCTACTTCTCTTTCTCTCTCTGCCTAATAAGTCACTTTTCTGCAAAAGCTCTTGGGGTCTGATATTTACTTGAACAATATCACTGCGCCAGGGCCTCCTACCCATTCTTGGGTGGACGAGAGCCCAAGGACCTAAGCACAACGGGCACATCGGTCACCTCAGGCACCATCCCATTGGGGAGCTGAGCTTCCCCCACATCCTGCAACCCGGTCACAAGATCTCATAAATGAAACCACTGGAAATTGACCCCCCAATCCTTTATTAGAGATGAATGAAATAACAAGTCTGAGATGAATGAAACCAGATACTGGGGGCTAAAAAGACAACCCTGTTCCTGTGGGAACCACAGACCAGTCAGGTCTCCAGGGCAAACAGCACCCTCTCCAGCCAGGCAGCAGTGTTGGCCACTGGTGCTCTCTGGTCTCCCCTGCTTAGCTTGGCCCATTCCTGCCAGGGCTCAGCACCCAGCAACTAGCAAGTTGAGATGTTAGCAGTTGATGATGGCTTAGGTATATCTGCTTTCTCATTGGGGCTGAGAAATGACAGAATTTCTAGTGCTGGGAAGCAGAACCTTAAGTCTCTGCCCTCCCATTTCTATCACTCTCCTTTCTTTGCCTCTCCACTCCCTCAGATTAGAAGGCTCCTGTGTTGACAAAGAGAAAGAGAACAGAAGTGGACATCCATCAACCCAGACCATTCCTTTCCTTCCTGCTAAATCATGGACACAGGCAAATGTGAGTATATCCGACTCTATTACTTGGCTGGGGAAAATAGGAGAGTGCCTAGGGAAGGCTGTGCTGTCCCTCAAAAGGAGTGACATTCAGAATATTTTTATTTAACAGCCAGTACAGCATGCATGTTGAACAGCCAGATGGATGTGGTCTGTAGACGACTGCTGTGGCCATACAGGTACGAACCAGCTGAGTCCAGAACCATGCCCTGGAATCTGACCCTGCCTATTCCCAAGCCCAACCCTTAAGACCAGCTTTCCACCAAACGACCACCCCTGCAGGGCCCCTGTCTTACTATGTGCCTAACACAGGTTCAGACCTAGAGCTGGAATTTAGAAAAGGAATACGAGACTAATAAATGACTGGCTGAGAAGAGAGTCCCTACTTGGCAGAATCCCTGATCTGGAAGTCAGTGATGGAAGGCTCTCCTCCCCTTGTGAAACCCCCAGACTGATGGGAGAAATAGAGTCTTGATCTAATGGGGGATGGAGGGTTCTGCAGCTGAAGCCAGCACAGGAACTCTCAGATCCAGCCACGGGGCTCCCAGGACCCTAATGGGTAATGAGATAGGAAAGAATCGCCATCAGCCCTAACAGAGAAAGGCCATGTGTCCTTGGTAGGGGCATGGCCCGTGGCGGGAAGAAGGCCAACCACAGAGGCACAAGGGACAGAGAGAGCGAGACCCAAGAGAACAAATGCCTCAGCTCCCCAGTTTTGTGAGCTCAAGTCCCAGCTCTGAACGTTGGGGCCCAGCATGGGGCATGTGGAGGCCAGCAAGGATCTAGTCTTGCAAAAGTTGCATAGAACTTGCTGGGAGAGTCCCAGTCCTTGAGCCATCTCCTTCAGTGAAGCCAACCTGCAGAAAGAAGGATGAAACTGACATTTTCAAAGCACCTGTAACATACCAGGTGTTCACCTCACTCAGTTTCACGTCTGTCCTATTGTGCGTAGATTACATCATTCCCGTTTTACAGACAAAGAAACTGAGGTTTGACAAAGTGGAGCTACTTGCCCAGTTTCCTCACTCTAAAGCCCAAGCTCTTACTATGATAAACACCACCATCACAGGCATCAATTAAATGCCATCTGATGGATACTTGGCTTTCAGGGCAATAGTGGAATCAGGATGTGGACATAGATCTGTGTCTGGTGCCTAACTCTGGTGGACTGAAGATGATGATTCCCCAGACAGAACCAGCTTCTGCCCCTGCCATCCTGACTCCCAACCCAACCAATGCCATTCTGAGGAATTCCCGGAGGAACAAGGGACAGAAGACACTTCCTTCCCAACACAACTGGCTCTGATCTGTGCCCACTCCTAGGTTCAACTAATATATGCCATTGTTGGAGACTCTGTGATTCAGCAGGGAGAAGCTGTACCTGTCCCTATCACATCCCTCTATGCCTGAGATCTTCAAGTCCCTGTGGATTCCAGAAGACTTATGAACAAGGGGAGAGTTAGGCAAACAAGGGCTGGTACACAGCTACCTTAATCCTGCCTCTTCTGCAAGGAAGTGATGCCTTTTCTGAGTGACTGGCCTGGCCAACACAACTTTCCTCATACTCCCCTGGGGAGAAGCCAAAGCTTGGGCCTCGTCATCCCAGCCTTGGGCTAGAGCAGGGAAAGAGGAGAACCAGGACAGGGACTAGTCAAACCATGCTGGGTACCATGACAGAGACTGGCCAAACTGTGGCTGCTTGGGTCCATTTGTACCCCAATCACGGGAAGGTCTCCCTCCCCAGTATGCCTACTCAATTTTAATTAACTCTGCCTCCCAGGTACCCTGCCACCACCCCTCAAACCATGGTCCCAGATTTCCTACCGGCATGTTCCTTCTGGGCAGAGGCTGCCTGGCTGAGGAACCATCTTCCAGGCTCCGTGCCCCCCGCCGATAGGAGCGAGTGCTCTCAGAGCTGGAAGGCAGGGAAAGGCCAATGTGATCCTGGTGTCCCAAGAGTTCTTCAGAGTTGGGAGAAAGGGCTCAGGAACAGAGCCAGTCTGGGGGCTTAGGATGGGTGGGTAGAGTCCACAAGTCCCCCAGGCCAGGTCCATCACAGGCCCATGGAATTGACCTCCAGAGGGCTCTGGGGATATCCCCAGGTCTACTTCTCTCCAAATTCCAGACTGAATGGGTTTGCAAGGAAGGGAGAAGACTGGATCCTGGGTTGGAGGTGGGGACAGTGAAGATGCCACTGGGAGCCCCTAGAACAAGCCACACAGGTAGGACTAACCCTCCTCTACTCTAGCATCAGCAGGCAGGATCCCTGGTTCCTCCTCAGCTCTTCATGCAGGACTTGGGAGCAAGTTTGTGAAGGGGGAAGGGGTCTCAGGGTCCAGCACTTCTGCATAAGTCATGGGCCCAGAGTGTGACCCAGTCTGTAGGCAGGTACGCTATAGAGGTGTGGAAATCAATGGATGCTCAGAGAATTCACGGGATTTGCCCTGGTTGCACAACTGGGCCCTCACCAACCTGAACCTGACGGGGAGATACATCTCTGAAGGGGTGGTCCCGGATGTCAGGCTGGGTCTGGAGGTGCCTGGGGGCTCCCGGAGGTCATCTTCAGAGCTGGGTGGGGCTTGGCTGGGACCCCCAGGGTCCGTGGGGCTCATGAGGCTGGAGGAGGAGGAGGAGGAGGCTGGACTGCCCAGGCTCTCAGGGGCCTCAGAGGCATCTGAACTCAGGCTGGGGACTTCAGAACGATCTGGAATCAGAAATGATGAAGCCTGTCTTTACCACTTGCTCTGTGCCCAACCTCAAAGTAGTCTCTGGCCTCTAGGATCTCTCTTTTCTTTCTTCTTTTTTTGAGACAGAGTCTCACTCTATCACCCAGACTCTCTGCCTCCCGGGTTCAAGCGATTCTCCTACCTCAGCCTCCCAAGTAGCTGGCATTACAGGTGTGCTACCATGCCTGGCTAGTTTTTACATTTTTAGCAGAGACAGGGTTTCATCATGTTTGCCAGGCGTCCCAAACTCCTTACCTCAGGTGATCCACCTGCCTCAATCATAGGCATGAGCCACCACACCTGGCCTAACATCTCTTATGGTTCTCTCCCCTTCTAGCTGTCCAGTATTCTTCAACTAGAGCCTTCATTCGCGGCTGCCAGGGCCAGGCTAACTCACTTTTTTACTTGTGCTCACACTCTGTCCTCAGTTTGGATTCTTCTGCTCATCCCTCAGGCTCACTCAGATACTACCCCCACCAGGAAGCCTTCCTAAGCCAACCCCCAATCCTAGCAGGACATGCTCCCTCCCTCCCCTAACCTCCCAGAACAAGTCTGTTTCTTCATTTGACAAATAGTTATTGAGAACAGCCAGGCTCTGCACTAGGTGCTGGACAAACTGTTTTCAACAAAACACTTAAAGTCCCTGTCCTTTGGAGATCTACATGCTATATCACATTGTGCCTTGTATTATAATGAACTGTATTCCAGTTTTTACCTCCCCTCCTAGTCTGTGTCTTTCTAGCCCTCAAAGGACTCAGGATGAAGTACATGCTCAATAAATCCTTCTCTCTCCTAAGTGAAGCATTGAGGAATTTGGAATAATATGGTCTGGGATTCGAATTCTACATCAGAGACTTATTAGCTGTGGGATCTTAAGCATGTGACTTAACACCTCTGTTCTTTTACCTGTAAGGTAAAAGAGGGGAAGATGAGAACCCCTCTCTGGAGGTCATTTTGAGGATGCTATGGACTAATATATGCACTCAGCTCAGTGCCCCGGCATACACAGACCCTCTGGGAATGGCATGGTGAGCATTTTTCTGGGCATCCAACTGTACCTCCACTGGCGCGTCTTGCACACCCTTGGACCATGGTCCGAGAAGAGTTTTTGATGGGCAAGGGCGGGGGACACTCCTCACTCTCGCCCTGAAGGTTGGCTGCTCCTAAGCTGGCGATAGTCTCGTAGGTCTTGTTGCTGATGTCCAGCCTCCCACTGGCCCAGTGGGCCTGAGCAGGGGGTTTCAGCAAGTAGCGCTGCCGGAGCAAAAGAGTGAGGAGGAGGACAGCCTGGTTCCTCTGGTATAGACCTGTCCCCCTGCCGTACCACCCCCACCAATACACACCAGGCAAAATCTGGCTCTTTCCTTATACCATCCAGAGGCCCAAGGGTCTGGGCTAGGACCCACCTTCTCGTCGTCATCCTCCTCACTCTCAGAGCCGGGCTCTGTGGAAATTCCCCAGGAGTAGTCCACATGCAGAGGGAAGGCAAGGGTCCCTGCCTGGGCCTGCTCCAGCTGCCAAAAACAAAGCCTTGGCAGTTTAGAAGGTTGGGGCTCAGCAGGGAGAGAGCAAGAGTCAGGAACTCAGCAGGGAGAGAGAAAGGGTCAGGGGCCCTTTGCCTCCCAAGACCTCACCAGCTCCTCACACTCCTTGTGCTGCTTCTTCCTGGCTATGTCCAGAGCTGTCTCCCCTGCTCCGTTTACTGTGAGGGAGGAAGTCAGGTGTCATGGTCAAAGAAACATTACAGCTTAGAGATGAAGGCGTGTCTCTGGAATCAGAATGTCTGCATTTATTATCATTATCATTCAGATCCAGCTAATATTTATTTGCCTACGTACTTCCAGAAATATTATTTTCTCTTTAGCAGACCTGCTAGGTCAGTGGTATTATTCCCATTTTACAGACGAGGAAGCTGAAATTCAAGAGATGAATAACAAACCCCTAAGGTCACAGAGGTGGTCAGAAGCACGCCAGGATTAGAACCCGAGACTGTCGGAAGTCCACGCAAAGGGTAGCTGGGAATAGGAATCTGACGGAAGAGGTATTTGAGCCCCACCTGTGCCAACCAAAGCTCTCCCCTTCAGCAGCAGCTTGATGCAGTCGGGCTGGTTGTAGAGGGCCGCATAGTGCACAGCCGTGCTCCCATCCGCAGCCCTGGCATCCAGGGGACCACTGGGGAGAGGAGGGTTCAGGAAGAAAGGAAGGGGAACAGATCAATGAGGGGATCAAAGTCAGCGGAAAAAGTGGGAGGGGAAAGGAGGGAAGAGAGTGGGAGAAGAGGAGGGAAAGGAGAGGGAGTGTGAGGAGGCAGACAGATAGGCAGGGAGGCTCTCACCCGTTCTGGATGATGAAATCCACCAGAGGCAGGGAGGCCTGGTTGGCAACTTTGACAGCCAAGTGTAGAGCGAGCTCTTCAGGTGCCTGAATACACATCCAAACCTCTGAGTTTTTCCCCAAGTTCACCTGCCTCCAACCCAGTATTTCCCTCTTGAACTCTTGCTACCCCCTTATCTCCCCATAGGAAGCTGCCAGAACCCCTGAGACACGAGACTGCCAGAGCAGAGCCTCATGTTTGGGAGGAAGGTGAAGGACTACTCTCTCATTGTTTCCCTTCATGGCTCTTCCTCCTCTGCCCCCAACAGGGGTTTCCCAAACTTCTTTCTCGGTTCTGGGCTACTCTCTCTGATTGCACTTCCACACCAAGACCTCAGTAACCTCACGTTTTCAACTATCACACATGTGTGCTCAGTGGATGCCTGAGCACTGAATGCAGGTGAGCATGCCCAGGTTGCTGCTGAGCCACGTGGGGTCTGCAGAGAAAAGCAGCTGGAGCCTGGAGGTGCAGCCCCTCCCCTCCACTTCTGCCTCCCTCCTGCCCCAGCCCCAGGGCCCGATCTGCAGCCCTGCAGTTCCAAATTCTTACCTCACCTAAGTGCTGTGCTGCCCATTGGATAGTCCACCAAGATATCAGACAGTTCAAAGATATTCATTTTTAGTTTTTCTGAGATAGGGTCTCGCTCCAGGCTGGAGTGTGGTGGCACAATCACAGTTCCCTGTAGCCTTGACCTCCTGGGCTCACAGCTCCCTATAGCCTCGACCACCTCAGCCTCCTGAGTAGCTGGGACCACAGGTGTGTGCCACCATACCCAGCTAATTGTTGTTGTTGTAGAGATGTGGGTCTCCTTACTTTGCCCAAGCTGATCCTGAACTCCTGGGCTCAAGGGATCCTCTCACTTTGGCCTCCCAAAGTGTTGGGATTACAGGCTGGGTGCCACAGCACCCAGCTGCCATCCAATTTTTGATGTCCAATCAGTCAGCAACTCTTGTGGATTGACTTTTTCAAATATCTCTGATATCCTTTCTCCATGCTCACGTGTTTGTTCTTGGAATAGCCAAAGCAATGTGGCCTTCCTGGCTCTAAACTAACCTGCTCTTACCTATTTTCAGGACTATTTAGGTAAAAGGAAAGGATACTAACATTTATTGCATACCCATTACACACTAAGCCCTTTATATACATGACTTAATTCTCACTTCATCCCTGTGGGTGCTATTATTTAACCCATTTTATAGATGAGGAAATGAGACTCAGAGAAGTAACCTGCCCTAGATCACACAGCTAGGAAAAAAACAAAGCCAGGATTCCCACCGAGGTCTGCTTGACTGAAGCTGTGCTCTTTCCCACTTACCCCTCTGATGGTGAGATTTGAGCAGACGTCAGAGGTGAAGCAGAGGGGAGTAAGAGCTGGTCCCAGAGAAGAACTGGGGAATATGTGAGGCAGCTGGGTTATAAGTGGCCCTTGGGGGGACAGGGGGTTCTCACCTGTGCATCAGGCCCTGGCAGTGGTTGTCCAAAGTCCTGACCATTGGCAAAGGCCTCCAGTACCAACAGGAGATCCCTGTTACAAATGGCTGTCCAGAGTCTCTGAGGCTCAGGTGTGCACCGGCGCGCAAACCTGTGCTCCACATACTTGGCCACGATGTAGTCCCTGCGGGTGCCCCTACCAAAGACAACCACAGGATTTCAGAGCAGGGACTGTGTCCGCCCAACTGACCCCCGGGGCCCTCCCACAGGAGATACAGCTCTCTTTTTCCCCAGAACCATGTCCTGAAGACATCGGATCTGAGGCTTCCCTCTCCCCAGACTTTTTTTTTTTTTTTAGACAGAGTCTCACTCTATTGCCCAGGCTGGAGTGCAAGTGGCGCAATCTCGGCTCACTGCAATCTCTGCCTCCAGGGTTCAAGCAATCTCGTGCCTCAGCCTCTTGAGTAGCTGCAACTACAGGCATGCACCACCACGCCCGGCTAATTTTTGTACTTTTAGTAGAGACGCGGTTACGTCATGTTGGCCGGGCTGGTCTGAAACTCCTGACCTCAAGTGATCCCCCCGCCTTGGCCTCCCAAAGTGTTGGGATTTACAGGCGCGAGCCACTGCACCCAGCCTCCCCAGACTTCTGTTCCAAGACCTTTCCGAGCCCCTGGGGGCTGCGGAGGCAGAATCCCCTAGGCAGGACGCCGATGTGTCTGAAAATCCCCTTACATGTCACTCTCAGCTGAGGGTTTAGGGCCGCCGTGTGAGGGTAGTTGGGCCTCCATGACCTCATTGAAGCTCGTGTTTCCAACGTTCAAGGCCAGCTGGAATCGTGGAAAAATAGGGGTTGGGCAGGGTAAGACCAGGTAGTTAGGCCCGCACCGGGTTGAGCTCGGAGGCCCCCAGAGTCCCGCCCTTCGACCGCCCTCCGGGTTCAGGCCCCGCCCCTGACCACCAGCTCCCTGGTTTGTCCCAGCCCACCTTGGCCAGGTCCCACCCACAACCTGCAAGCCCCGCCCCCGGATGAAACTACACCCCTAACTCCGAGTCTGGCCCCGTCCAGGCCCCCCTCCGCCCTCACCAACAACTCGGAGGGGCCCAGCAGGTCCAAGGTGAGTGACTGCATGCGCGAGAAGCGCACGCCCAGTTCGCGGTGGACGCCCGAGCACTGGATGCAGGTGAGCACGCCCAGGTTGGTGCTGAGCCACGTGGGGTCTGCAGAGGAAAGCAGCTCGAGCCTGAAGGTGCAGCCCCTCCCCGCGACTTCCGCCTCCCTCCTGCCCCGCCCCCGGGGCCAGACCTGCAGCCCCGCAGTCGCAGCACTGGCTGTTCCCAGGCCTGCTCTTCACCTCCGCGATGAGCAGCTTCGTGAGGTCCTGGGGCTCCCCGTCCTGCCCGGCAGTCCCCCAGGACCCTGGGCCACCGCTGGGCTCCCCGAGGAAGGCGCTGCTCAGGGCTTCGTCCTTGCTGTTCTGGAGCACTGACACCCACCTGCGGAGATTGAGCGGGGTGGGATGGGGATGTCAGGCGGGAAGATGTAGGGCCTCCAGCCCCTACCCACAAGGCTGGCCGAGGGAGCACTCACGCCTCACACTCATGCTCGTCCTCCGCGTGGAAGTGGTACGTCCGGTTGTCTATTGGGAGAAAAGGGGATCTCTGGCCCACAGAAATCCTGCTGGCCTTCCCGGAGCCCCCACCAAAGCCACTGGAGCCATATGGAGATTTGTCCCTGCCAAGTCTGACTCTCAAGCTAGGAGTAGGGAGGGAGCAGAATGACAGTGGCTGGCAGAGGGGCAGTTTCTCCGAAGTGGCCTCTGAAGTAGAATCCCAACAAAGCTCTTTCTGTGTGAAGCCCTCATTCTAGGCTCAGATGAGGTGTCCCAGGGCACAGAACCCCAGAGAACACAGCTCAGAGGCAGGGCATCCTCTGAACCAACTGTCACCACCCCACTGGGCCCCTCCTGGTCTCCTCCTGGGCGGCCAGGCCTACTGTCTGGTCTCCCTGCTTCCCATTTCTCCTTTCCCCCAGACTGTACCGGCTCCCAGCTGTTGTGCCCAAGGCTCTGCTCTAATGACACCACTGCCCTGCTCCAAGATCTTCCCTGGCTCCCTATTGCCAGGAAATAAGGTCCAAACCTTTAGGAGGGATTCCCCAGGCCTCAGCTCTCACTCCACTACATGAACCCTCCACTCTGGCCAAACTGGCCAGACCCACTCTCCTGCTTCCATGCCTTTCATCATGTGAATCCTGTCACCTCGAAAGCCCCATCCCACAAACTCTTCATTCTTCATGTCCTTCAAGGCTAAACTCAAATACTCTCTCTTCCAAATGCCTTTCCTGATTCCCCACAGCAGCACAGGCCTTCCCACTCTCTAATCTTCTACAGGGCTATATCTGCATCCATCTTCTGAATAGCCCCCTCATCTTACAGGCCTGGGCCCCACCCCACACCCCTGCCAGAGAGAGCTTCCTGAGGACAAGATCTAGGTCTTTCTCAGCCTGTGTCTGCTTCACACAAAGTCTGCATCAAAGGCTCTGAAGAAGGAAAAGTGGAAAATGTAAAGAAATAATAATATCTTCTTCAAGTCTGGGTATTTGGGAAAAAAGGTAAAATTTTTTAAAAAGAAGTAATTTCAAAACCCAGATAACCCAAATCCACTTAAATATGCTCTATATAGTCACATTTATTATGGAGAGTGGGTGCATTTTGATGTTTAATGTGATGCGGGTGTCCTGGACCTAGGGATTCTTAGGCCTGCAGTAGCGGCTCTTTGATACCATCTGTGGAACTGGAGACAGACCCCGCACTGAAGCCCTGTGGGAGCTGACAGGTGTCTCAGAGAAGCCCTGAGCAGCTGTGGGGGAGAGGCACAGGGACCACTCACGGGTCACCAGGTCGAAGCACTTTTTCTCCTCAGGGTTTGGCCTCACTTGGCATGTCAGCAGGGTCAGCTTCACTGGGGGCCGGTTTATCTGTGGAGGATGTACGCATTACCTCTGGCCCTCCAAACTCTTTAGGCCTCCATTTCCCAATCTGTTAAATGGGCATAATTAATCATCCTGTTCCAGTTGTGTTTCTCCTCACCCAGCACCTCAAGGATGTGGCGTGTAGACTAAGACTAGACTGGGGCCTTCAGGTCCCATCCGTCCTCCCACAGGGGTGTCCTTGGACCAAGGTTTGGGGGCCAGTCTTGGAGGGAGGGCTTGACATTGTTTGCTCAGAACAGCAGAAGAGGCTCCAACGCGCCCTGAGACCCCTACCACCTCTAGGCCTTACCGTGCTGTGTGAGATGGTCAGGCAGCCATACTTGACTCCACACTTCCTTTTCTGCCAGACTCTTCGAATTCTAAGGCCCAGAGGGATAGAAGGATAGTGACCCAAGGCTCACACCTTGTTCCCTGGTGTCAGAGAACAAGAGATTTGCCCCCGCCTGTATGATCTCTAGCTACATCCCTTTACCTCTTCCTTTTCCTCACCCTACACCCCACACCCCTGACTCTCTGGGGCTCCCTTCTGATAAATGAGACACAGTTCTGCTCTTAGGAAGATCCTCCTAGTCTGATGGAGAAACAGCCTCACTCACTGGGAATCCGTATTCTAAGGGGATGATGTGACTTTGGCCCTCTGAGAGCTTCCAGTCTGATGGTGGAGACACAGCTTTTTTTTTTTTTTGAGACGGAGTCTCACGCCTTTGCCCAGGCCAAAGTGCAGTGGAATGGTCATGGTCTCAGCTCACTGCAACCTCCACCTCCCAAGTTCAAGAGGTTCTTCTGTCTCAGCCTCCCAAGTAGCTGGGACCTGGGACTATAGGCGTGTGACACCCTGTAAAATTAGCATGGCTAATTTTTGCATTTTTAGTAGAGATGGGTTTTTCGGCCAGATGGGGTTTTTTGAACTTCTGATGTTGTGACCTGTCTGCCTTGGCCTCCCAAAGTGATGGGATTACAGGCGTGAGCCACCGCGCCCAGCCGAGACACAGCTTTATACCATTAGGGAGCTCCTAGTCTGAGAGGCACAGGTTCTTGACCAGCACAAATCAATTACGCTTCAACTAAGCAAGATCAATATTAAGACCCCAAAAATAAAATTAGCAAGTCCATGATCCAAAATTACTTAACACTTCTCCTGTAACAGGTAAATATTCATTGGTTTCTTCTTCAAAGTTATTCTTCTCTGATTAAACTGATTAGTAGGTAGAAACATGAATGTATCCCATAAGGGCCTTTGCATTTCACAACAATTTTTTTTTTTTTTTTTGAGACAGGGTCTTGCTCTGTCACCCAGGCCTCAAGTGATACCCTGCCTTAGCCTCCCAAAGTGCTGGGATTACTGGTGTGAGACACTGCACCCAGCCCACAGACTGATTTTTTTTTTTTACACTAGGAACAAGACAGTCAATACTTTCATGTCTAGGCATATTCAGTGTATTGTAGAGGCTAAGAATGAGGGCATAGTAAATGTTCAATAAGTGTTAGCTGCTGGTATTCTTCTTTAAGAACAACCAGTGACTTTTCACATGCCCAGGTGTCTTGGACAACCCAGGATTTGAGAATTTGCACTGCAACCCTCAGGGTCTACACAAATGATGAGAACAGTCCCTTTGGGCAGCTTGCCCAGCCCTGTCATTTACTAGCAGTGTTGACATTGGGTGAATGAATTACTTAAGCTCTGAATCACTTACCCGTCACTTTTCTTGTATAGAAAGCCCACTTTCTCCGTCCCAAACTGCTTGTTGCCTTGGTGCTGGTGGATGCTGTAGCCACCTCCTGAGTTCTTTCGACTCAGGTGTTCCTGTCCCTCAGACATGCAAAGGAGAACTCAGGGCATCTCAGTGGGAAGAGCCCCATTGTGCAGGGGCTCACTCAGGGAGAATTCTCCAGGGGACCCTGTGAGTCTTCCTTCTCTCCCTCCCTCCATGGTGGGCCTTGGGGGAGGGCATTCCTTTTGGGAAGGTTCAGGGGCTGACCTCTCTGCTGTCAAGCTGCAGAGTCCCTCGGAGAGAGTCTCGGAGCTGGGTCAGCTTCTGTAGCTCCTCCTCCTGGGCTTGATGGAGCTATGGGACAGAGGATGGGACCCCATCACCAGCCAACAAATATGCCAGGCACAGAGCCCAAACCCAGAAGAGCAGGGCAGTAGCCTCACTCTGTGGGCAGGAACCAGCTCTTCCACACCCACAGATTTTCCTGGAAGGACTGGGGGCTTAATCACATTCCCAAGGGTGAGACCCAACTTACTGCATGTACTGAGGCTGCCAGCTTCTCGATGAAGGGGGACAGGCTCTGGGCAGCCTTCCAGCCATCTTGGAAAAAGCTAAGCGATATCAGAGGCCAAACAAGGGTCCAGAGAAAGATGGAAATGAGAGATGAAGCCAGAAGTGTGGGAGAAGCTACTGTAAGGATTGCAGGGCACCTCAGGGCACTGTAGCCTGACAGTCAAGAACAGACATTCCAGAGACAAGAGTCTCTCTTGACTAGGTTCAAATCCCACTTACTAGCTGTGTTATCTTGGAAAATGAGCCTCAGTTTTCTCATCTATAACATGGGGATAATAACAGTACCTGCTCTCAGAGGACTGAATGAATTGATGTTTGTGAAGTACTCATGCCTGACACCCAGTGAGCACTCAATGAGGAGGAGCTATGAAAGTTCTGCCAACAGGTGCAGGCATCCAAAGAGACTTGCAGGTCTGCCACATCCTGAGACGGGCCTTGTTCCGTGACACTGGAAGAGTTAGTGGCAGGGATGTGGGGAGATACCTACTTGTGCTGGGCATGGAAGAACTTGATGAGGCTCTGAAGGAAGTCAGGACCTTGCTTCATCTGGCTCTCTCCAGCTTTGAGCAGATACTAGCGGGAGGGCAGGGCAAGATGTGTGATGTAAGCTGAAGCAGAATCCTGGGAATGAGGGGCTGTAGTCCCCATCCCAGGCTAATCCTCCTAGCTGTGACTGGGCCTTGGTGACATCCCACAGGGCTATGTGTCCAGGACATTAGCTGAGCCTGTGACTGGTCCCCTGGAGAAGCAGGCAGGAAGACACATCCCACCCCTCACCCCCGATCTAGAGCATCCCTTACCTCACACATGTGCAGCTGGAAGATGCGCCGCTCTCTCTGCGTGTCCTGGGCCACTTCCCCATGGATCCCTCCTGTCACCCTGGCCCGATCACGCTCCTTCTCCACCTTGGCCCTAAACCCCAAGGAAAGAGAAAACTGAACAACTCTCACCAGCCCCTATATCCTCTTCTGCCAGGGATGTATAAGCAAGGGGGGCCACATGGTGCAGGAGGCCCTCCTGTGCCAGCTGTGTGGTGGGGGTGGGTACAATAGTGAAAAAGATAGATTTAGGTAATCCACAGAGTGGTGGGGGAGAAAGACATGAATCAAATCACAGCCACGCAGAGAACTATGGGAGAGAAAATGGGGATCCAACTTTGTTGGGGTTGCTAAGGAAATAATGTCTGAACTGGGATCTGAAGCCTGAGAACCTTAAGAGGAAGCTACCGCTGGGCAGGACGGCTGGACCATATGATGGTCCCAAGGCAGGAGCGATAGTGCCAAGATGGAGAGGGATGGTGCCAGCTGAGGTGACAAGGGGCCAGACCATGCAGGGTCTAATTCACACAATGTTAAGAGTTTTGGTCTTTATCCCAAGAACAATGGGAGGGATTTGAAGATTTTTGTGGAGGGAGATGAAGGGCTCAGACAAGGGCCAGGTGAGATTTGGGCAAACAGTTCTGATCTTCCTGGAAGGGATTTAAGTCACAGAGTGCATTCATTTTCTTTTTTATTTGTATTAATTTGATTAATATTTATTTGTATTAATTTCAGTGGGGAGGTGATAGCTGGGCCTGCAGCATCTCAGCAGCAGTGCCTGGCAACTTGCTAAGGAATTGGGGGAGGGCTGGGCATGGGAGCTCATGCCTGTAATCCCAGCACTTTGTGAGGCCAAGGTGGGAAGACTGTTTGAGCCCAGGAGTTCAAAACCAGCTCAGCATCATGGTGAAACCCTGTCTCTACAAAAAATTTAAAATTATCCAGGCAGGGTGGTGCATGTCTGTAGTCCCAACTACTCAGGAGATTGAGGTAGGAGGATCCCTTGAGCCCAAGAGGTTAAGGCTGCAGTGAGCTGTGATTGTGCCGCTGCACTCCAGCCTGGGTGACAGAGCACTGGGAGACAGACCCTGTCTCTCAAAAAAAAAAAAAAAAAAGGAATGGGGGAGACCAAGTGCCATCAGGTGGGCAGGGGCAGTGGAATCCCCCAGTGTACACTGTTACCATATCTTTCAATAGTCAAAAATGAAAAATCAGCTAAATGTCTATCAGTAGGAAGTAGATAAATAATAGTATGGCCATATATAGGAATATTATATACCTGTTAGAATGAAGATTGGCCAGGGGCAGTGATTCATGCCTGTAATCCTCCTTTGGGAGGCTGAGGTGGGAGGATCACTTAAGGCCAGGAGTTCAAGACCACTCTGGGCAACACAGCAAGACCCCATTTCTACTTTAAAATCAAATTTTTAACAATTATCCAGGCATGGTGGCACACTCCTGTCAGAAGTTCCAGCAACATGGGAGGCTGAGGTAGGAGGATTGCTTGAGCCCAGGAGTTCAAGGCTGCAATGTACCATTACTGCACCACTGCACCCCAGCCTGGGCAACAGAGTAGACCCTGTCTCAAAAAAAAAAAAAAGGAATATCTGTACATACAGTTGGCTCTCTACATCTGTGTGTGTAGAGCCTGAGGATATAGGTGGCTGACTAAGGGGCTTTGCCATCCTCAGATTTTGGTATCTGTGGGAGTCCTGGAACCAATCCCCCATGGATACTGAGTGATGACTATACTGACATGGAAAGATATCTTCTCCAGAGTAAATGGACAAAAAGCAAACCACAATATAGTACAGTGGTTGGAAATATAGGTTCTGGATTTGAATGGCAGCTCCTTCACTTATTTAACCTTTATAAATCTGAGCTTGTTTCTCCATTTGGAAAATAAGAGTAATACTGTAGTCCCTCCTCCACAGTTTTGCTTTCTGTGGTTTCAGTTATTAGTGGTTAAACCCTGTCCAAAAATATTAAATGTAAAATTCCAGAAATAAACAATTCATAATTTTTTTTGCTTTTGTTTTTTTTTTTGAGACTGAGTTTTGCTGTTGTCCAGGCTGGAGTGCAGTGGTGAGATCTTGGCTCACTGCAACCTCCACCTCCCAGGTTCAAGTAATTCTACCTAGCTGGGATTACAGGCGCCCACCACCATACTCATAATTTTTATATTTTTAGTAGAGCTGGGGTTTCACCATGTGTTCTAGGCCAGTCTCCAACTCCAGACCTCAGGTGATCTGCCCACCTCAGCCTCCCAAAGTGCTGGGATTACAGGTGTGAGCCACCACACGTGGCCCAATTCGTAAGTTTTAAATTACGTGTCATCGTGAAATCCTGCATCCTTCTACTCCATCCTGCCGGGGACATGAACCATCCTTTCGTCCAGTGTATTTACACTGTCTATCCAGCAGTCCCCAACATTTTGGCACCAGGGACTAGTTTCTTGGAAGACAATTTTTCCACAGACGGCAGGATTGGGGAGGGTGGTTTTCGGATGAAACTGTTTCACCTCAGATCCTCAGGCATTGGATTCTCATAAGGAGCACACAACCTAGATCCTTGGCATGTGAAGCACACAATAGGGTTTGCGCTCCCTTGCACATCTAATGCCATGCTGATCTGACAGGAGGCGGAGCTCAGGCAGTAATGCTCACCCACCTGCCACCCTCACCTCCTGCTATTCAGTCCAGGTTCGTAACTGGCCTTGGACCAGTACCAGTCTGTGGTCCAGGGGTTGGGGACCCCTGGTCTATACCACCTGCCATTAGTCATTCAGTAGCCTTCTTGATTATCAGATTAGCTGTTTCACTATTGCAATGCATGTGTTCAAGTAACCCTTAATATACTTCATAATGGCCCCAGAGTACAAGAGTAGTCATGTTACCATATTCTATTTTATTACATGTTGTAATCTGTTAATTGTTGTTGTTAATCTCTTACTGTGCTTAATTTTTAAATTAAACTTTATCAGACATGTATATATAGAAAAAATCATAGATTATTTTTTAATGGCAAAAACAGCCAGAATTACTTTTGCACCAACCTAATATAAGGTTCAGTATCATCTTTAGTTTCAGGCATCCACTGGGGGTCTTGGAAAGTATCCCCCAGTGATAAGGGGAACCACTGTAATCACACCTAGTCCTTGGATAATATAATGCATAGGAAACAGTGCAGTTCCTGGCATATGGTAAACCCTCAGTGAATGGAAGGATTATGATGATTCTAGTGATGGCAATGACATTACAGTAATAAATACTGGTGATCCCTTTTAGATATTTTTTTCACTACTTTCTTCTTTCTTTTATTTTTTGAATGCTAGTAGAGATTAAAAGATAGTGCTATTTAACTCAGAGTGTAGACAAGCTGTAAAGTGCACAGCTTTGTCAATGTACTTCAGCTCTGACAAAATGGCTTTGTCAGTTATCACAGCTCTGTCCCTCAGCCTCTGCTAAGATAATTCATAGAGATTTATCCGACAAAGTCTGACATAGTCATTCTGAGATGACCTAATAGCTGAGGAGTGCTTTCCTTCCCCTTCCCCTATAAAATAACAAGTCCCATTCCTTCCCTATCCTCAAAGGATCACCACCATTTTTTAAACATTTCAAATTTTAGAAACGTTTTTCTTTCTTATGAGCGGAGTTGCAGCAGAAGGAATGAAATGTAATAGTGGGTGAAAGTTCTTAAATGCTAGTTACTAAGACCAAGATAACTGCAGAAGGAGAATACAGCAACAGTTTAGTGTTATTCATGGGATTGGTACAGGGACTCCTGGTGTGGGCAGGAAAGTATTTAAAACAAACCACGCACCTATACCTTCAGCCACACTTAGGTGCCACATCACCTGTGATGCCTTTTCTGACTACCCTTCCCTCCGTTCAAACAAAATACTCTTTTTTTTTTCTTTTTGCCACCTCTGTGCTAATACTATCATTAGGATATTACTACTTTGCATTTTAATTATTTTTTGAGCTGCCTCTCTTCTTACCTTTCAAACCAGGGGGCATCTACCAAGGCAGGGGTTGTGGGGAGGGATTGCTCACTACTTACCAATAAACTGGGGATAACAACAGCAGCTTTCCCTGCCTGGGAAAATAAATCTGGTAATAGATGCAAAGAGCTTACTCCAGTGCCTGGCGCAAAGGAAACTGTAAATAAGTAGAAGCTGCTATTATTACTTATTATTATTATTATTATTATTTTTTAGAGACAAGATCTAGCTCTGTCTCCCAAGCTGGTCTCAAATTCCTGGCCTCAAGCAATCCTCCTGCCTCAGCCTCCCAAGTAGCTGGGATTACAGGCATAAGCCATGACGTGTGGCTTCTGATAATAAATATATATATACATATATTTATATTTATTACATATGTATGTATTATTATTGTTAATTTTTAAAATAGAGACAAGGTCTCACTATGTTGCCCAGGCTGGTCTTGAACTCCTGAGCCCAAGTGATTCTCCTGCCTTGGCCTCCCAAAGTGCTAGGATTACAGGCTCCTAATTATAATTTTTAGGCTCAGGCACTCTACTAGGCCCTTCACATGCTAAAATGATAGCCCCATGAGGCAAAATCATTAGCCCACTTTATAGAAGAGGAGCCTGTGGCTTAGATAAGTCACTTGTCCAAGTCACACAGCTGTTAAGTGGTGGGCCCAGGAGTTGAACCCAGGTCTGGCTGATGCGTGAGCCTTAGGGGCAGCCCTGGCAACCAACACTATGGCTCAGGTTTGTTCCAGCCTTCCTTTCCTGCCTCATTCCCGCCAGCTGGTGACAGCCACACTGTTTCTTTTTTGAGAGATAAGTCTCTCTCAGAACAGGGACCATTTTACAGATGATGAAGCTGAGATCCAAAGAAGGAAAATGGCTTGCACAAGATCAAAAGCTGGCTGGGGAAATGCTAGGAGCAAACGTGGGTTTCTGCCTCTCAATCTTCCTGTGTCTGGTCCTAGTTCTGGCTCAGAGGTGGTCAATAAATCCTTGCTGAACTGAAGTGCTGAGTGCTTTATATGCACTGTGTTTATTCATCGCCACATTGACCCTACAAGGTATTACTGTCCCTATGTTACAGAGAGGAAACAGACCTGTACATGGAACTGCTTAGATAAACTTGGCCTCTGTACAGGGCCTGGGATGCCTTTCTCAGCAGACCTACATGGAGAGGGAATACTTTTCCTATGTGAACAGCCAGGGGTGAGGCTCCCAGTGGTATCTGACAGATGCTATCAGGGCCCTGGGCCCTTCAGCTGCTGCTCAGGCTTGTTTGTTAAGAATTGGTGGAATTACATAGCAACTTATGGCTCACGCATATCTTGCTGTACCTGGAGTCCATATGAAAAGGAATGTACACAAGTTACCCATGCCAAGACATATAGCTCAAGCTATGTGGCTCCGTGGTAGGAGACAGGAGACCATGTGGCAGAAACAGCACTAGACTCAGAAGCCCTGGGTTCTAGTCCAGGTCCTCTTGATAACTCACCAAATAACCTTAGCCAAGCCCCCTTTCCCATCAACTCAATGGAGTCTTGCCTGTAAATGAAATCCTACAGGAAGGCTCAATATAGGAACCTAGGAAAAGCAGACTGCTTTGGGAAGGTCAGCAGAGTAGAGCTTATTGTTTCCACTTGGTAGACGATCCCTAAAAGTCTAAGGGCTTAGTCAAGGTAACTCAGGAAGAAGAGGGCCATGTGGCCCCACAGCAAATCATAAAGACAAGGTCAGCCTGGGCCCTCACTACCCATCCCTGGGCCTCCAGTGAGAGCAGATGGCCATGCCCCATCACAGGCAGGGATGGGGCCCCATAAGGATGGCCACACAGTGCCTACGCCCTTCATCACAGGATCTATGCCCACAGCTGGGGCTGAAGATGCTCGTGCAGGGACAAGATGTGACCTTCCTTAAGACTGGGAGAGGTGTCATGGCTCTGGGAGCTGAGGGAACAATAAAAGCTCCAAGATCTACTTGTTGAAATTGATCCTGCAGAAATAATTATGAGTAGGGGCAAATATTTAAATCCAAGGATGCTTCTCCAATGACAGGAACAGATTAAATACATGATGGCTTGTGCATGTTTTGGCACACCCGTTTGAGTGATGTTGTGGAAGAATATGTAATAGTATACAAAGATGGTCACAATGTATTTTTTTTTTTTTTTGAGATGGAGTCTCGCTCTGTCACCCAGGCTGGAGTGCAATGACATGATCTCAGCTCACTGCAACCTCCGCCTCCCAGATACAAGTGATTCTCCTGCCTCAGCCTCCTGAGTAGCTGAGATTACAGGCATGAGCCACCATACCCGGCTAATTTTTATATTTTTAGTAGAGACAGGGTTCCACCATATAGGCCAGGATGGTCTCAATCTCTTCCTTGTGATCCACCTGCCTCAGCCTCCAAAAGTAGTGGGATTACAGGCATGAGCCACCGTGCCCAGCCGGTCACAATGTATTTTTGAATGAAAAAAGCAGATTACAAAACAATATATTGTTATGATCTCAGTTTTGTAAAAATATCTTTTGGATATAGAAGAATAAATGGTAAAATGTTAATACTTTAGGCTTGAAAATTAAGGATTTTTCTCCTATTTTGCGGTAGTTTCTCCTCATCCCACCTTTTAAAAAAAATAAAATTATAATCTTGTAAAAAAAAATTCAAACAACAGAGAATAGTATCCCCCTGCCATGACCCTAATCCTCTGCTAAAGATGATTAATTTTTTTCCTCTTTTACTTCTTATTTTCTAAATTATTCATAATAAGCATGCATTGCTTTGACAAAATGCAAGAGAAAACAAAATTTTACAAAAAAGCACAAACAGTGCTCCACAGTATCGTCATGGCTGGGCACAGGGTAAGGGCTGGGATCTGGACAGACTCCTCAGAAGACAGAGCCCAAGGAGTCTCTGCCCAGGAGGAGCTGGCCACTGGGTACCTGAGGCTCCTTTCCCCATGATGTCCCAGTAGCTGGTGAGAGATCTGGAGTATTGTGTGGTATGCACAGAACACAGGAAGCCTGAGTGTGACATCAACTGCATTTCCTCCTCTAGAGGTACCACCTGGCACTGAGGAATGAGGAGCAAAGGGCATAAACCCCAGTTTTGCCTCTGCTGAGCTGTGGGGTCTGGGGCAGGTGACTTAACCTCCCTGAGTCCTCCTGTGGTAACTGTGATGCTAATACCTCTCTCATATGACTGGGTGACTGTGAGGATTAAATGGCCAGCACGTGGAGGTATTGATTGGGTCAGTGCTAGCTCCTTTCCATCCCTGCCCACGTCTGGCACCACTGAGCAGATGGGGCTCTGAGAGTCACATCCTGAGGTCCCTTCACAATAGCTCCTTTGGTGGTCTTGTGGCCCAGTTCGCAGAATCCAGTCAGGCCTGGGTATAAACCATCCCCTGTAGATGCCTCCACAGAGCCAGATGCCACCCACTTTTGGATGACATGTCTTGGCAGCATTTAGGTTCTTCCCTACCCAGCTCCTTGCTGCAATGCAAGCATTACTCTCCTGGGCAAACCACCCTGGCTGTGCCCACTTACATTTTGGCTTCATAGTCCTTCCATGCTTTCTCCAGCTGCTTTTTGGAATCCTGTGGGTTAAAAAAGAACATTTGCCCAAAGGGAAGCTGGAGCACTGGAATAAACAGTAAACTCTGCTGCCTGTAGGGAGACCTGCGAGTGTGCTCCCCTAAGCTGCTCAGAGCCCTTCTCTAACCAGCCCCTGCCCCCACAGTCCTGCTGCAAACCTGCCCCCACCACACAGGCTCAGCTGACCCCATTTCTCAGGGGTGAGGCCCTTCTCCCAGCAGACCTTCTCCCCAGAGATGCCAAGAATCAGGTTTGGTGGGCCCTGGCTTGGGGTGTGGAGAGATCTTTGGGCTCTGCCCTGAGCCCTCTTGCTCAGAACAGAGATCAGTCATGAGCATGAGGATGGCAGGATGAAGGTAAGCTCCCCCCGCCTGACTTTCTCCCACTATTTTCTCCTGCCTGGTGCTAGACCATCCTCTTAGAGCAAGGGTACAGGTCAAGAAATATGCCCAGAGAGGTTGAGAAGTCTACCCAAGGCCCAACAGCAAGCTGGGGAGACCTGGCTACCCCCTGCCTAGCTTGCCCAAGCCTCATCCAGCCAGGCTGCTCACACCCTTCTGAACAGCCCTGAGACTCCCAAGGTGAAAAAGCTGCCTGTCTGGTTTGTGTGGTTAGCAGGCTGGCGTGCAGGCTGGCAGCCTAGGGCAGGGAGGGAACCCTCTGGGGGAAGCAGGGCTCCTCCCCTAGGCTGTCTGGGGCAGATTGCCCAGGGAGATTATTCTGTCACCTTCTTTGAGCTCCACTCTGCATGCAGCCAAGGGCTGCGAGGCACAGAGACAGCTTGAGTGTGGGATTCAGGATCCCTGGATTCCCACATGGGCTCTCTACTTCCTAGCTGTGTAAACCATAAGCAGGTTACCTAACTTCCTGGGCCTTGAATTTCAACTGCAAAATGGGGATGAGCGTACCCACAGAGCCAACCTCATAGGATGGTTTTAAGATTTACATGAGACGTTTCATACAAGGGGCCCAGCGGACATCAGGTCAGGCATCCTAGGCTGACCCAAGCCAGGTCCTCCAGACCTCTCCAGGCTCAGCCCCTTCACTCAGCCTCCACCCTCAGTCCAGCCCCGCCTTCCCCTAGTCTCCTGCCCACTCCTCTTTCATTCTGTCCCACCACCATGCTCAGCATGGAGACTCACCTGTCGCCCGTCCCTCAGCTGCCCCTTCATCAGACTGTCCAGGGGGAATGAGACAATGTTGTTCAGGTTCTGAACCTGGAAAAAATAGAGATGCCTATTCCTGCCTCAGGTGACCGGCATCCAGCCCCTAAGGATTCGGGGTACGGTGAAGCATCACTTGGCAAAGAGAGCAGAGGAGAAGGGAAGCAGGGGAGAGGAAGAGATGTCATCAGAGACGACAGCCAAGTGAGGGGTCTATCATGGCAGGAGTCCTGGGAAGGACTAGAGGAGCTGGCTGTGGGGTCAGCCTAGGATGGCTGACCTGCTGCCTGCCAGGCTTCCTCTGTGAAAGGGGGCAGGAGGGGAGGCTGAGGCATGTCGGAGTCAGCCCCTCCCCTGATGACTCCAGCCTCATCACTGCACTGCTCCAAGAGCATCCCACTGTCAGTCTCTCCTCTGTTCCTTACCAGGAGCAGCTTCCCTTCTCCTGTCGGACTCTCTCAAGTTGACCTGTAGTGCAAATCTGTTGTTCTGGGCTGGCTAACGCTTCATGAGCCTCCCCTGTGAATGGTCATAGAATCCCCTTTCCTGTGGGGAACTCCTTCTCTGTGGTCAGATGGGGTAAATGCAGGAGTCAGATCTGACCAGGGCACCCCAGCCCCAGGATAGAGGGACTCGATAGGGAACAGGTATGCAACCCAAGCCAGCCAATCAGAATACTCTCTGGGATTTTTCTGCTTACGTCATGGGAGAAAGACCATCTTTATTCTGGTAAGATGTGCATCTGGGCCTGCTGGGCTATCCTGCCCACTGAGCAGAGGCAGAGAGAAACTATCTTAAGAGGAAAGGATGGCATGTAAGCCAGCTGTAGCCCTGGACTTCCCATTCCAGGGGCGAATGAATTCCCTTTTTAAAATTTAACCTAGTTTGAGTTGGGTTCCTGTGATTTCGCAACCTAAAGAGGCCTGTCTAATATTTCAACCAACTTCCAAGGTACAGCTTGTGTCTCTTCTCCTCTAGGAAGCCTCTCATGGCCATTCCTCCCCCCGGTCTATGCTGATCTCCCCTTTCCTGAACCATGGCAGCACTAGGCCTCTGACACTAGCCACTGGGTCCTTGAGTTTGTGCCTTGCTGCTGGTATTTCTTGATGCTATTCCACACCCTAGTTCTTGTCTCCTCCCCAAGACTGTGACTCTCTGAGGCAGTCTGACCCTTTCCTGTGTTACCAACCCTTGGTATAATGCCCTCAAGACAGCAGACTCCCCAGTAAACACTAGTTTGACTGAAACAGGGAGAGAAGAGGGAAAGACAAAGAAAGACATTAATCAGTTCAATTGAACTCAAATACTACCTTTTTTTTTTTGAGATAGGGTCTTGCTTTGTTGCCCAAGCTGGAGTGCAGTGGTGTGATCATGCTTACTGCAGCCTCGACCTCCCCTAGGCTCAATTGATCTTCCTACCTCAGCCTCCCAAGCAGCTGGGACTACAGGTGCATGCCATCCCACCTGGCTGATTTTGATCGTTTTTTTTTTTTCATATGGAGTCTCACTCTGTCACCCAGGCTGGAGTGCAGTGGCATGATCTTGGCTCACTGCAACCTCCGCCTCCCAGGTTCAAGCAATTCTCCTGCCTCAGCCTCCTGAGTAGCTGGGATTACAGGCACCTGCTACCACGCCCAGCTAATTTCTGCATTTTTTTAGTAGAGACGGAGTTTTCACCACGTTGGCCAGGGTGGTCTGGAACCTCTGACCTCAAATGATCCACCCGCTTCAGCCTCTCAAACTGCTGGGATTACAGGCGTGAGTCACCACACCCAGCAATTTTCATATTTTTTGCAGAGACAGGGTCTCACTACATTGCCCAGGTTGGTCTAGAGCTCCTGGGCTCAAGTGATCCACCCACCTCAGGCTCCCAAAGTGCCGGGATTAAGGTGTGAATCATCATGCCCGGCCTCAAATATTGTTAAAGGCTGCTACATGCAGGACAGGGTACGAGGCACAGCTATGCCAAGAGCTGTAACAATGACAGATTTTATTAGGTTGGTGCAAAAGTAATTGCTGTTTTTGCCATTAATACATTATAATATTAGCCAACATTTACTGAGCGCTTACCATAAAGTAGGCACCAACTTGCTTAATCCTCATTACCACTCTCTGAGATAGGTAGCATTATTATCCCAGTTTCACAGATGAGAGACCTGGGGCACTGGCAGACTGAGTGACTTGACCTAGTAAGCAGCAGAGTGAGGATTCTAAGCCTGAGTCTAGGTCCAAGGTCAGGTGCTTCACCATTGAGCACATTGCCTCTCAAGGATGATGTGGCCTCTGCCAACCAGGGAGGATGCTGGGGAGGACTGGAGCCACAAGAGCTGGTCCAGTGCCAAGGAGCCTAGAGGGAGACAAGAGACTTTCCTGGGAGGCAGTGCAACCAGGCTTATGCTCAGACTCTGGAGCCAGACAACCTGGGTTCATATCGAACCACGTGACCTCAGGCAAGCTGCTTAATTAATCTCGATGTCCTAGTTTCCTAGCCTGTAAGGTGGAGACAACAGTGATACCAGCCCCACAGAGCTGTGCCCCTGGATTGAATGAGTGAACATGTGAAGTACTGAGAACTGTGTCTGCACATAGGAAGAGCTGCTATCACAGGGTGGCCTTGAGGTGAGGACTTGAAGGACCAGAGAGGAAGCAGTCACCAAAGAGGCCATCAGGAAGCAACCCAAGGCCACTGGGCCATGAGCAGGGACTGAGAGGCTTGTGGAGGCAGGGACAGGTTCTGGGATTTGAGTACAAAGTAGATGTCATTGGAAAAGCAAAGGACAAAGAGGGAGTGAAGAGAGGAGGAGGTGGTGGTGGCGGCGGCGGCGGTGGCAGCAGCAGTAGCAGAATAAAGGTAGGAACCCCTGAGCCTGTCTCTCCTTTATCCCAAAGCTCCTCCAGGGAACCCTCCCTTGCATGGGGCTCTTCCCTGCTGTGAGATTCCCCTCTGCTCCTGTGTAAAGAGATGGAGGAGAACAGAGAGAGAAGAGTTAGAAAGAAGTCAGAGAGAAAGGAGGATTATGCAAAAGGAGGGTCAGAGCTGTAAAGGGACTTCAGGCCATAGGTCAGAGGTCAAGTGCAAACTGGGAGAGGGAAGGAAACGGACCCTTTCCGGTCAGTTTCTTACGACCACTAGATTTACCCTGAGTCTGGCTAAGGACTGGGCAAGGAAGAGACAGGGGCCTCACCAAGTTCTTGAAGAGCGCAGCCACCTCTCTGGTGAACACGGCCAAGTTCAGGAAGCCTGTGGACAGCTCATGGCTGTTCTGGGACAGGTGGCTATTGCCTAAGGATTCCACGGCCTCTCGGTACTGCTCTTCGTTCTCTACATGGCCTGTGGAGGTACGAACAGGAGCTTGGAGTTAGCTCCAGGCTGGAGCTGAGAGGGGCTTCCTGGAGGGGCTTCCTGGCCAGGCGGGGCACCCAGCAGGCTCACTCACCAAGGCCAGAGCTATGGATTGCCCGCACAGCCTTCTTTATTCTCTGCAGGATGGCTTGGTCTCCTTCCAGGATCTGGAAGCAAATGTGGACAGAGGTTCAGGGATGTCAAGCTGTAAGAGAGTGCTTCCTTCAGGAACCTTGACTCTGACTTCCCCGCCTCCAGACAAATACATTGAGTTCTGCTGTCCTCTGGAACTTCTCCCTAGGGTCTTCCTGTTTACCCCACCAAACACGAAAACCACACAGAAACCACACACCAGTCACACCACTCTAAGAAGGCCACGGACTTTTCTCCCTGAATCCAATGCAACGTAAATGTAGCGATTCAAAGGGATGTGGCATGATAGGGTGTGCCAGGCCCAGGTTTGAATCTTGCCTCTGGCACTAGCTAGTGTGTCACTTAGACAAATCTGTTAACTTCTCTGAGCCTTGAGTGTCTTGTCTACAAAATAGGGATGATACTAGGGGACTTGTGGAGTTGCTGAGAAGATGATTTGATAACTATGTAATGCTGAGCAAAAGTCCACAGGGGAGAACACGGACATCTCTATGTTTCCTTAAGATACAAAGCAGGGGACACTTGTTCACCAAACCCCAGGCTCAATAAACAGTTATGTCAGGACAAAGAGGAAGAGGCCGGGATGCCATGGGTGAGCAGAGAGGGGTTGGTTGGAGGCATTCCATTACCTGGGTCTGGGGAGATGGCAGAGGGTGGAGGGAGCACACTCTATCTCCACTGGGGAGAACTGGAGGGACAACACCAGATAACCCCGAAGCCCAGAGACTGCAGAACAAGCTTCAGAATGTGGAAAGGCCAGAGATGTCATGGCAAGATGCAAGTCTCCCATGTTCCAGGCGGGCTCAGCCTAGATGGGGAACTTCCTAGACACACTCCCTCTTTCACTGGGGCGTAGAAGTTGACAACCTCATGAAATCCTTGTGAAATGCACAGTTAACTTGGAAAGTACAGGAAAGTACAGAATGTCAGAGTTGGAAGGGGCCCATAGATGACAAAACTGAAGCCAAGAGAGGGGAGGCTCTTACCCAGAGTCACATGGTAGGGTAGTAGCAGGGCTGGACTTCCCAGGGTGCAACAGAACAGTGCATCATCCATGCACCACAGCCCCACCCTAACCCCAGCCCAGCTGTTCTTTCCAGTAACAAAAATGGTATCAGAGTCTGATTTCCAGAGTTACATGACGAGAGTTAGCAAACACATTCGAAATGGTACCGCCAAAGATTCAAAATGATTCCCACAAGAGGACATGCACGGGGCAGACGTCAGAGGCAATATGGAGTGTTCTCAGAGGCCTGTGACATGTGGGGAGCCTCTGGAGGAAGGGGGTCTAGTTTTGAAGCTCAGCTACACTACTTGGGGGCTATATGACCTTAAACATGTTGCCTATGTGTGTGTGTATATATATGTACACATTTTTTAGACAAAATTTTGCTCTTGTCACTCAGGCTGGAGTGCAGTGGCACGGTCTTGGCTCAATGTAACCTCTGCCTCCCAGGTTCAAGCGATTCTCCTGCCTCAGACTCCCAAGTAGCTGGGATTACAGGCACCCACCACCACGCCTGGCTAATTTTTTGTAATTTTAGTAGAGACAAAGTTTCACCATGTTGGCCAGGTTGGTCTCGAACTCCTGACCTTTAGTGATCCACCTGCCTCAGCCTCCCAAAGTGCTGGGATTACAGGCGTGAACCACCATGTCTGGCCACAAGTTGCCTGTTCTTTCTGAGCTTCCTGATTAGCCATGTGTAAAACGGGGAAATTGGTGCCTACCTCTCAGGGTTGGTATGAGGGATATATGTATGACAGGATACACATACAGGATTTCGATTGGGGCTGGGCACTGAATATTTCCTCAGTGAACAGCACCTGTGGTCATTATCATCAGCTGCTGCTGATCCTAGAAAGGTCTGCCGAGTTCTGGGTTCTTTTCCTACAGGGACTAGAAACCTAACATTTTCCTCCTTAGGTGTGAAGTTGAGACACTTTCATATTTGAGACCAGTGAAGACTCATCCCAGGGCTGAAGAAAGAAAATAAAAGAATCAGGTAGATTAAGAAGAGGGCATCATATTTGAGTTGGTTAAAACATGAGGCTGGGCATGGTGCCTCAAGCCTATAATCCTAGCACTTTGGGATGCTGAGGCAGGAGGATCACTTGAGACCAGGAGTTCAAGTCCAGCCTAGGCAATACAATGAGACCTTCTCTCTACTGAAAAGAAAAAATAAACAAACAAATTAGCTGGGTGTGGTGGTACACACCTGTAATTCCAGCACTGGGGGAGGCCAAAGCAGGAGGATCACTTGAGCCCAGGAGTTCAAGACCAGCCTAGGCAATATGGTGAAACCCCATTGCCATATGCTGGCATGCGCCAATCGTCCCAGCTACTTGGGAGGTTGAGGTGGGAGGATCACCTGAGCCTGGGGAGGTCAAAGCTGCAGTCAGCCCTGATTGCACCACTGCACTACAGCATGGGTGACAGAGGGAGACCTGTCTCAAAAAACAAAGCAAACAATCAACCAAAACGTTTCTTACTAAAGAGACAAAGACAAGTAGGGGAGAACATTTCTTTCTAAACTGGTCAAGAAAAAAGGAAAAAAAAAATAAGAGAGAACATGGTCATCTCTATAGTTCCCAAAAATCCAGATGAAGAAACAGAAGCATGTGTTTACCAAATCCTTTGATCCCCATCTTGAAACCTGGAAAGCTAAAAGATGAGTAATGTAAGTAGCTGTGATTTCGCTCTATAAGACAATTCAGATTAAAGATAGGAACGGTTTCCAAGCAGATTTCCAAAATCCTGAGAGGACAGATCCATGTGCCTAGCACACAGAAGTTGCTCAGTAAATGTTTACCTAAATGAATGATGGTTTGCAAAGTCCAGGGACATGGACCTGGGAGGAGTATGTTCATGCTCTAGATACATTTTGAGGAGTCTTCCCATCCCATGACACTCATTCTCTGAAAACTGCCCTCCTTCCCTCTGGAGGTGGGCCCCTGCCACCTTGTTTGTTCTAGTCAGAGTTGACCGACACCTGATTCAAGCTAAACCAATCAGATTCTCTCTCCCATCTGACCCAAGCTGGACCAATCAGATTCTCTCTCTAAGGACTTTGGAATTGTGCTCTGGAAAGCTAGTTAACTTGCTGAAATGCTAAAGCTGGGATGTCCTTCCTGCCACATGCAGAGAGAAAAGAACAGAGCAGATGTGTAGAAAGAAGTGAACAAGCCCAATACTGCCACAGCAAGGCAGAAGAGAAGAGCGGTGCTGGTTTCTGGCAACTTTCCAGATGCTGCCTCTTCAGAGGCAACCTCCACACATCATGTCTTTGGTGAAATTTCATTAAATACCCCTGAACCCACCCAGCAAAGTTCCTTTAAGCAAGTTTGAGAACATTTCCTTTCCCTGTAGTGTGGAGAGATCACTGGGTGGTTCCCAGTGTCCATTCTCTCTTCTTCCTTCACAAGAAACCTGACTTTTCACATGGCCACTTGGTCACCCAGAATAAAGACTACATTTCCTACCTTGCAGCTAACTGTGGTCATGGGACTAAGACCTGGCCATGGAATATAATAGATATTGTATTTGTTAACTTCCAAAAAGTATCTTACAAAGAAGGGAGATAACCCCCAAACTCATCAAGCTATATAAACTATGTACAGCTTTTTACATGTCGATCCTATCTCAATAAAGTGGCTTTAAAAAAAAAATGAAAAGGAAGTGAGGGACTACACACCTGGAGAATGGCCAAAATCCAAAACACTGACAACACCAAATACTGGCAAGGGAGGCTGGGCACAGTGGCTCATGCCTGTAATTCCAGCACTTTGGGAGGCCGAGGCTGGTGGATCACTTGAAGTCAGGAGTTTGAGACCAACCTGGCCAGCATGGTGAAACCCCATCTCTACTAAAAATACTAAAATTAGCCAGGCGTGGTGGCACATGCCTATAGTCCCAGCTAGTCCGGAGGCTAAGGCAGAAGAATCACTTGAACCTGGGAGGTGGAGGGTGCAGTGAGTCCAGCCTGGGTGACAGAGCGAGACTCTGTCTCAAAAAACAAACAAAAACACACACACACAAAACCAAAAACACAAATACTGGCAAGTTCCTGAGCAACAGGAACTCTCATTGTTGGTGGGAATGCACAATGGTACAGCCACTTTGGAAGACAGTTTGGCAGTTTCTTATACAACTTAACATACTTTTGCCAAATGATTCAGCATGCATACTCCTTCATATTTTCTCAATGAGTGGAAAACATATACATACCTGCACATGGATATTTATATCAGCTATATTCATAATTATCAAAATGTGGAAGCAACCAAGATGTCCTTCAGTAGGTGAATGGATAAAGAGACTGTCATACATTCAGGGAGTGAACTGTTATTCAGCACTGAAAAGAAATGAGCTATCAAACCATGAAAAGATGCAGAGGAAAGTTAAATGCATATTACTAAGTGAAAGAAGACTTTAAAAGGCTACGTACTGCATGATTTCGACTATATGATATTCTGGAAAAGGTAAAGCTACGGAGACAGTAAAAAGATCAATGGTGGCCAGGGATGCGGGAGGGAGGAGGAACAGGAGAAGCACAGAGGGTTCTTAGGGCAGGGAAATATTTCTGTATGATGCTATAATAATGGATACATGGAATTATACATTTGTCCAAGCCCATAGAATGTACAACACTAAGAGTGAACCCTAATGTAAACTACAGACTTTTGGTAATGACGTGTCAATGTATAGTCATTGATTGAAACAAATGTGCCACTACCGTAAGAGCTGTTGACAGAGTGGGAGGTTGTGTGTATATGGGAACGCTATGTACTCCTTGCCCAATTCTGGTGTGAATCTAAAACTGCTCTAAAAAATAAAGTCATTTGTTTTTAAATTAAGAAAAAAAAGGGGCTGTGGTGTGGTGGCTCATGCCTGTAATCCCAGCACTTTGGGAAGCTGGGCAGAAGGATCACTTGAGCCTAGGAGTTCGAGGCCAGCCTAGGCAACATAGTGAGAAGCTGTCTCTACAAAAAATAAAAAATTATTCAGGCATGGTGG